TAGCAAATTGAAGTTTACTTAATCGTATAATATCAGGAAAGTCGAACATTTCAAGAAAAATGATAACTACGTATATTTCATACTCTTTAAAACTTTTTATACACTTTATTTTATAATATTTATTATATAATTATTATTTTATAAATTCTTGATACACATGCTTAAATGGCAACTATAAATCAATTTTGCATATATTTATAATTCATAATTTAAATATGCTAATATACATATATAACTTAAAAATACATTGTTACTGCTCGTAGTAACTTTTATAGTATCGAATAAAGGTAAATTACAGAGGTAATAATGCTATTTCTAGTTTTTACATATCTAAAGGAACAGTGAGAGAATGAGAGAGAAGGGGACAGCGATAAATTGAGAAAAACGGAGCGTTGGAGTATCTGTCGTATACGTATCGCGTGTTCCTCATCGTGATACGTAATTTCTTTCTATTCCTCTGGAACTTTCGTCTACACAATTCCTTAAAATGGAGTGGAACTGCCTAGTCTTTCCAAATACTAAAGATAGCTATGTTCAAAATTTCATTTTCCATTGCTTTTCTGTAAAGATCTTTTGAGTAATGCTTTTTATTTAATTTGTACAGTAAAAGCTTTGGAAATACACTAGATAGACCAATTTCTCATATCGTTTTCTGTTTATTTATTAACAGTGTTTTTCATATTCGCATATTCTTGTTTAACTTTTCTTTTCACATGTTTGTGGCCGTTGCAAATTCAGAACAATTTGTTGTAATATTAAATATGATTAATACCATTTTTTTGTTCAACAATGCATCAAATTTGCAATCTTTTATCTAATACCTATAATGCATTTACTAATACCTTTTTTTAAGTTGTTACTAACGAATTTTTAATACATTGAATTTGTAAAGTATATAAGCTTTTATTTGAAACTTTTATAGTTACCACAATAAAAAATAAGTAGAAGATAAGAAAGATAAGTAGAAGTATAAGAAATAAGTAGCTGGTTTAATCATGATGAATACATCTCTCTCTCTCTCTCTCTCTCTCTCTCTCTCTCACTCACTCACTGTACACTTTCTTATTTCCATACCGTCTATTCATATTCGGCCACTAGTTCTATTCATTTTTTGTTTTTCATTACGCTAAGATTTTGAACACTTTTCCTAACTATTTAGACATCCTGATCGAAAGCACCTAAAAAATTCAATTTATAAAAGCCCTTTACATTTATATTGTGAGTAATATTGTGGAAACGTATTACTCTATATTCTGATGAATTGGCACATTCAAAATCTATTTACCTTATCTATTTATCTTATGACGAATATTATTGATTGTTTATAATATTTATATATTACATGTATTACGATATAATCATTTACAACCATACATTATCATTGTTGTAGATCTATTTATATATTCAACGTCTATTATAGATGTAAAAATTTGAAATAACGAAATACTTGAAAGTTTTTAAAACCATCAACTGCTATTGGCATATTTCTGCTATTTAATAATATACTAATAGATCCCAAAAGTTGTTAATACGATCAACTGCGATCACTCAATTCCTTTTTTTAGGTTATTCATTATATATGAAATATTTTATCGATACGAAATCTATGAAATCTATTTATCAACGATTCTGCTAATTATTAGCACAAAACATTTCTATAACTCAAAAGTCCGTCTATCTAAGAAGTTTCAGTGCTCTTTGTTTATGAACAAAGCCTTTATATTAATTCAAGTTAAAAATATTGGGTACATATATTTTCACACAGTATCTTAATTGATTATTTTTATATACTTGAAAATTTGATTATTTCAACTAGAATTACGTATAAAATATTACTCATATGCAGATATTATATAATACTGATAATTTAAATTTCTTTCTTGATAACTTCGATTAAATATTTTTATATATAAGTAAATATCAAAGAGTGATCTCATGCTGCCATCAATGACAATCATAAATGATGTAGTCAAAATACACAACTACAACAATATCTTAATATTTGTAAATTTTAATGTTGAATATCTGTATCAATGCCTATCAATGATTACAGCGAATGCTGATAAATTCAATTTATCCATGAATCTTCAAAAAAATTCCACTCTAAAATGTATATTTGTGTACATATACATATACATACATTAATTAAATACATAAACATTCATTATACTTAGAGTTTATTATTTAAGTTAGTTATGACTATATTCAGTATTTCTAATATTTAATATAATACTTGTTATTTAAATTATTCTAATTATATCATTTTTAGTCACTACAAACCGTAGTAATATTAATTATTTAAAAAATATTATATATTGATATAATCATTTATAAACCGTATTTGAAAATTTCAGATTAAGTTTATTTATCACTTTTTTCTAATTGTTCGTGTACACTTTGCAATATAATTTGTTTCTCTATTACTTCTAAAAAAAATTCCAATACAAATAAGTCCTAACAAAATTACATAATTTATTATCTTATTTGTGATGATGCATTTAAACTACGACTTTAGTTAATAAATTATTCCGTAAAATAACTACACATACATATAGTAACATCGAAGATTATTTAATTATTACATCATTAACTTTAGTATTATATTTCTGATTTTGCTTGATAGTAAATCACAATTATCTATTGACATTATTGACAATAGATAATTGACAATTATCACAATTATCTATTATATTGTAAATTTTTTTAATTAATAAAAAATAATTGTAATATTTTCTTTAACTGAAACGATTAAAAAAAATGTAAACATTAATTTAGCTGAAATATTTCAGAAAATATTATTTTAAATATTCAATTATATGTACTAATTCGTGTGGTAGTCCTATCAATTAATTGTGCATGAATACTATCAGAAGTGCATTAAGTCAACAATAATATCTATTTAATTATTATTGACTATTAAGGAATATCTATTACAAATTAATTTATTTAGAATTTATAAAATTTTAATAAGCAATAGCAAGAGCTATAGTTTCTCTAGAATAATTTATTTATAATCAACTGCTTTTTAAATGAGCGAATTCCTTTGTAACTAATATGGATATGGATGACATGGATATGGAAAATGTATGATAGAAACGTCGGTATCGGAGTAAATATTCAATATTTGTATATAAAATGTTGTTAATTAAAAATAAAAACTAAAAGTGTATTTCTCAATAAAATTCATTGAATAGTGAATAGCAAATTTTTAAAGTAATTGTAAAACGGTATATATTTAAAAACTTTTGACATTTATTACATTAAATATCTAAACATTATAAATGTGTTAATCATCTAAAAAGTCATTTTTTAAAGTTGTAAAATGTAGAATGTAACTTATAAAATAAATATAATTAAAGGTATGTCTTTAATGGCATTAAGAATGCTTTATGTTGATTATAATTAACTTAATTGTCGTTAAGAAATTTGTCAAAACTAAAAATATTTTAACTTTAAATAATAGAAATGAATTTAAAATCTATTCTGGATAATAACAAGATGATTAAATAATAAAAATGAATTATTTTATAAAAATTTAAATATTAACTTTTACGACGTACAAATTACAGTTAACATTACATATTACATTTCATTAACAATAACTAATAAAAAAAAAAAAATTTTTAAACTTTAGGCAATTATCTTAAAGTAACATATATATAAATTTCTAAAATGAAAAATATTTTTATTAATATTCTTATAAAATATACAATATAATAAATACACTTCTCTGTTTCTTTATCTGTTAAAAGTGTTTTAACTTTGTTTAAAATAAAATTTACAATATTTACAATGTGAAATAATTATGTCAAATTTTAGATCAAATCTGTGATAAAATATATATGTATTATTACGATTAATATCAACAAATTTATAGCTTATAGTAACAAATTAGTTATAAATTTTTTGATAATAATTTTTACTTCGTATAATACTTATAGAAATATAAATAGAACTTTATATATAATTTTTCCCTCTTATATTCGTAATAAATAAAAGAAAAAATGCACAATAACGTAAGAAATAATGTATTATGCACCATAAATATTAAAATTTTAATGTTTAGTCTATACAAATTTTCTTCATCTTACAAACCATACATACAAACATATATCTAACTGCTACATAATGTATGTTCCAATAAAATTTATTTATTATTTTGTTTATTAATCGAAAATAAAAGTATATATACAAATATATTAATTATGTAAAGTAAAAATACTTCAACATTTATAAAATATTAATAATAATATATTATATGAATGACTATATATACAAAATTTTAAGGTCATAATGAAGCTTAATAAAAATGGCTACACATAAACATAATGCATAATTTACATTCAACTTATGTACAACATTTAGCCAAAGTATAATTATAAAACAATGAAATAGAATCATTAAATAATTTAATGTTAAAAGGAAAAGTAAGGGGCAAACATAAGAGTACAAAAATAAATGCAATGTGCGTGCGTGCGTGTGTGTGTCTCTGTGTTATATTTTTAATAACAAACTTTTCAAGGGAAATAATAACAATAAATTGACATTATAATGAACATTAACATTATATTCCATATAATATTCAGTGAACACTTACCATCAAAAATATAAATATTTAATTAATTACATAAATTTTTAAACACAAATAACAAATCTTAAACTACTGTAGTTTACCTAAAGATATTATGCAACTTTGATTAAAATATTTATATTTTTAAATTAAAACTATTAATATAAATATTCCAAAAGATTATTGAAATAGTTTCTATAGATATTTTGTTGAAAAATCATGATATAATAGTCATTATTTCTCAATATGTAAATAGACCGATTGTTTTATCTTTTATGAAATTGAAGTTAAAGTACCTTAGTTTCATAATTCTTACAATTACATTTAATGATAAACTTAAAAGGAATACATTAGGTTAAGAACAAAGACAAAAATGACGTAAACTGTAATTATAATGTATTTATGTTAAAATTTAATACGAGATTTTCATCTTCATTAAATGCATTTTATCATTATTTTCATAAACATAAAATTGATTATCTATTTACATTGTTATCAACTTAATCGAGTAGTACTTGTACAAACAATTAGCGATATGGTAGCCGGCATAAAATGAACATTATATAAAAACTTGTTTTGTAAATTAAATTGATATTACATCAATTATAAGCAATGACAGCAGTATATAAAGAAAAATAACTGTTATATTTCTCTTAGATCTATTAGAGGAACAAAAACATATACATATATTCCCACATATATCGATATCTCTACAAGTCTATTTGTATGTGACTGTTTTATTAGACTCCCATTTCATCTTTTATAGGATTCTATGTTTCTATTTATATATCTATTTTTCTGTATAATTGGTTTTTTTTTCTCATTGGGCTTGTACAGTGTCATTTCTAAACGTAATAGTTCATAGTAAAATAATTTATCCAATAGAGCTATGTATTAGATGGCATAGAATGTATAGCTAATGCAAGAGCTTGTTGCATTTGTATTCTAACATCGACTTTTTTATCTTCAGGTATCCTTCGCATTATTGGGAGTAACGATAACAAAAACATCCTGTCGTAATCATCGTCCTCGAATTTAAATTTCTGACTGCTGCTGTTTGACGATATCACGTCCGGAAAATCATCGGCGCCGATGGCCATCGACGTCTCACACATCGATTTCGGAAATTGCGATACAGACATGTATTTGCATTGATCCTCATCATAGGAATTGTTAGTATAATCCTCGGAAACGTCTTCGTGAGTCAGTGGCATCTCATACTCCTGCATTATATGATAAGTATCCATCTCAACCTCGGATTTAACATTTTTACACTTTGTTGTGTAATTCGCGCGATAATTCCTATGCAATAAAAGACAATTATAAATAAATTGATTTGCTCCTTATTCATTTGGCATGAGAATTACGATAAAATCATGAAGGCAATATGAAGGAGTAAATTGTTGTAAAGGCAAAGGAACATTCAATGTTGAATGGATGCCTGACATAAAAAATAAAAAATAAAAAATAACAGAAATTTAAAAGGTAAAATTAGAAAAATAGTTATACAAATAAAAACATTTAATCAAAGTAATATAATACCCATAAAGTCAATAAGTAAGATCTATTTTCAATTAAAAATGTATATTTGTAATTTATATTTATTGAGATCGACGGATATGTCGATAATAAATTACATGCAATGTGATTCTATGAGAATATATGCCATAGTATTAAAATTCTTTAGTAAAATAAGTATAAAGAAATCAAAATTATTATAATTTTAATCCAATAATGCAAACAATTTGGGCTAAATTAATAAATAATATATTCAATAGAGTTTTTAATTTATAAATAATATCTACATAATACGAAATTATATACTATTAAATTATAATTGAACTTATTACACTTCTACTTATAAACACGATTCATTAGAAAAGTTTTAAATGTTAATTAATATGTAACTCAATTTTATTAAATAATAATAATTTTTCTAATATGATACCGTATGATTATAATTTTTCATAGAAAAGCAAAATAGTAATGATATATTCGCGTAACTAAATTCGTGATTAAAAATTTAAAAAGAGATATGTTGTTAATAACTTTTTTTTACGATAAAATCAAATATATCACAAGGCAATGAAAAGGTATAATTATAAAAAAGTTACTATTGTTGTTGAAACGAATTATGTCAAATAATGACATTTCACATTAATTATAGAGATTAAACGTGAATTTGGTAAAAAAAAAAATATGTAATTTTCATTGAATTAGGCACGAAATGACTAAGACGATGGAAATTAATAAAATTAATAAAATTATGAAAAACATAATAAAATTTCTGCAAGTATTCAATATATTTCAAATAAGTATTAAACAAATATAAAATTATGATGACCGATTAAAGATTGAAATATGTAAAAAAAAAAAAAAAGAAGAAAAAAGTTTAACCGTAAGTAAGGATAAAAAAACAATTTATATCATAATAACTTATGAAAATAAAAGTTCATATTAAAATGTTATATTGAATCATAAAGAATTCCAAGAAAGTTTTTTATATCACTCGTGTGATGGCATCTATACAAAGCCATTGGCAATGTAAAAGGACGTTTGAATTTCTTAAAGATTTCTTAAGCGAAAATATCGTGATAATGTTACATACACCATATCAATTAGACAATTGATGTTTAGAAACGAGTAAAATGGATTATAAATATAAAACTTTAGCAAAACAGCATTATTTGTTTAATACAGAATGAAGTATACATAATTCAATAATACGCTATTCGAGATTTTTAACTTAAAACTTTCAGCTTTGTTGCAATTACACTAGCTACTATTAAAATAAATTATTGTTTAATTTAAAATATTTACTTTAACAAATATATAATATTTGATTGACACTTTAAAACAATTTTATTAAGTGCTTGATTTAGGTATATAATGTTGTTGAATTATTTGAAAATTTTTATAAATAAAAAAATTACAAAAATAATATTATTTTACAAATAAATCGTGACACATTTAGACATATTTTGATTATCTACGTTTCTATATTGAAATGGAAAAGTTTCCCAATATTTTTAAAACGTTGTATTTAAAATATTTAAATATATATTTTTCACTTTCAGCCAAATATAATAAAACAATTATATCAAACATGCACTGTTAGAAAAATATTGAAATATGCAGAAACACGAATTGTTAAGCGCAACAGCTAATTAAAAAGTAACGACCAACTTGCTGATTGTACTGTATATAATTATAATACCTAATATATTTATTAGGTTTTATATTTATAATAGGAATGCCAAATTTACAGTTAACTGTACAGTTAGCATTATTTAATCTCATTAAAAATTTGTTATTACAATAATTATTATGTGTCGGATGATACAAACGGTTAACAATTAAGAATAAAGTATTCGATAAAAATCGTAATTTATAATATTAATTATAATATAATAGTAATTAATTGATATTATTAAATATCATATAGCATTATACATGATTATCCTCTATAACTCGTATAATTTATTTATGATCATTAATTCGTTGTATTATATTATTTCATTTAATTTTAATGTTTCCTATAAATTTTTTTTCTGTCTGATTTTATACAATACATTCTCAATAATGTTTTGAATTAATTAATTGCTTTGTAATTTACTAAATCAATTACCTAAACATACCTTTACAATGTTAATGTACAAACTTTACAATGTTACTCTAATATAAACTTTCGTTGTACTTAATTCATTCTTACAATATTATATGAACAATAATTGATTGTCATAAATGCTTTAATCCGTTAAATTTTGTATAATTACGTACAGCTCATTTGTCCTGTCTAGAATATATTTAACTAAAATTTAACTATAACTTTAAACTAAATTTTTTATCCAGTATTTTCTCTTTAAAGCCGAATGTATAATATGTAAATATTAAACGATGTTATTACGATTAATCTACACTAAACATATCCAGCCAAGAAATTGGAATTCAGTGTCATATTATATGAATGTCAATACTAACGTACTCTCCATATATTAAAAATATGCATGTATGTTTTTGTAACGCGTTACACCATCAGCTAAGCTTACGACATTACGATAACACATATATCTCTGTTGCTTATTTACCACTGCATCTAATATTTCATTCATTTAATATTGATTATCACAATTGAAAAAATAATGATATATCTACTGACATAATTTTTATAAGTTACACCATATAACACGATAATTATAATTGATAAAGATGAAGAAGAAAAAGATTAGGATTTTTTATTAACAAATCTAGGCAGATTTTATGTTAAGAAATGTTCTCTGCAAAAGTTATAAATATAACAGCGGTACGGATTGATTGAAAGAAGACTTGATAATTAATACTTATTATTACATAAGTTATGAAGACAATTATAAATCAAATTCTATTTTCATTTATTCAACTGATTTTAAAAGATAGTCTATTTAAATAAATAAAGTGGGCACGCAAGATTTATTCGTATAATGATGTATATTCATACGTGATATGCTACTAATCAAATAAAAATCGCTATTATCGCAATATTCTAAAGTACTTATGTATGTACAGTCGGCTCATACTCTCGTATGATGTAAAATGTTAAAAAGGTTTTTAACGTTAAAAAGATTCCCTTGAACTATTCGCAAATAATGCAAATGTAAAATATTTCAATATCATGGAAGCATATTTTAATTATAGAAATATTTCTTTTTCCGGGCGTTCTAATATTTTGAATTAGTCGGTAAAATTTTTATTGCCAAATTATATGTTATCTATAAAGATTTATATAGATCATCGTCATTTGTAAGGTAAAATTGTATAGACATGACAATGTCAATTTTTATATAAAATTATTTTATAGATTTAATATTTTTAGAAAAAGCATTTTAATAATTCATATCTGTGATTTTACAGCCTTGTCGTAATGGAGATTTATCTTTGCATTGCTCAAGTAATTTTAACTCGAATTAACAATATTGTGGTATTCATATGTTTCTGAATGAATTTAATTCAACTATTCAGAAACGATTTCTTGGAGGTCAATTAAAAGTTGATAAATGAATTTAAAAAAAAAATAAAACCACTAATGACTAATCTCGAATGAATATGAAATTATACATTCCTAGCGTATTTGAAAGGATTGTTTATTCTATTCTCTTCGAGATATTCGAGGTTATGTATTTAATAGACGAATTCAGTTGCTTTCAAAATTGATCCGCAAGACATATGGAAGACGATGTACTTAGTTCGGTGAAAAACTGACCAAACTGACATTAATATTGAGTTGAGCATGAACCCAAAGCAACAACATTCTTGCAATCTCGGGTGTTGTTTTGCATTTTCATATTAATACTTAATTAAAAGAACGTATAGATAGCTGACTCGCAGTGCTAGTTGAAGGAGTAGAAAATGCTAAGACTCTACGATAAAAATCTCTGACGAGATAATTAAACGTTGATCATGAGTCTTGTATAAAAAAAAAATAGAGAAAGAAAAAGGAAAAAACATCGTGGACATGTAAGAAAGCAGAACGAAGGTCGGTTGTCGGCACGGCTGTGTGTTAGAAGATCGTCGTGTGGGGCACGTGGGACGTGAGAGTTGTGCGTGGCGATGTGGTGGGGCGGGAGAGGTGGCGGTAGAGAGGGCGGGGGACACGTACGCACATACGCACACACATTATATCTTCGGTTTCTTCATTACCTTTGTTTACTTTCCACATTGGGCACGAGAAAGAGCAACTGATCAAAGTACATGTACTTTTTTCGCTTCCTTCCGGCTGCGCTCCCCTTCCTCATCCTCTGCAGCTTGAGTTCCTTCATGAAGTAGTCTCTGATGTTCCGCCACTTGCTCCTCAAACTCTTCTCTGTAAATAAAGAAAGAGAAAGGGCTGACAATAGGGGAGCGAGAAGGAAGAAAGTGCCGAGGTCGGGGCGTCGTTGGGTACCGCCGGTATGGGCGGGCGCCCCCACCTCGCCGACGAGCATCGACGTCGGGACCTAAAAATCGCCCTCGGACCGCGTACCTTCGGCGTTCTTCTCCTCGTCGGACATGGAGCGCCATTTGGCAACCATGAGCTCGCACACCTGCTCCCAGGCGCTGGTCTTGGCCGCCCTGTCGCTGTACTCCTCGGAGCGGAGATCGTATATCGCGGGCCGCCTCCCGATCTCCTCGATAAATCTCCCGGTGTCGAAGCTTGGGCTGCTCCGGCCGCCGTCGCCGTGACTCCGCCGCCTTCCGGGCGCAGCCCGGCGACGCGGACTACCCTGGCGGCCCGTCCTACCCAGCTCGCCGCTTTGAGGTTAGGAAGCCGAGGACGAAGCGACAACTGGCACGCGAGGGCGGCCCGCGCGCCACTGCCAGCCGCTCGAGCGGCTAATGTCCCCCGCCGGAGGCGGGACGCGGGGGACGTAAGCCGTTCGCCGGCGGCGCTGCTGCCGGCACACGCCGGCCGGGGACGTTGGTGAGACCGGCGACCCGAAGCTCCAGTGCCCCACGGCGTTGCCAAATCGCGGATCTCGTGGCGGCGAATCGCCGGATGTCTGCGCTTTTCGACGACTCCGTTGGAGATGGGCGGAGATGCGCGGATTTACCGGTCGATTCATGACCGTTTCATTGAAGGGATTTCGGTTTGTCACGGAGGCCGTTACGTAACGGCCCACTGTCTTCTCTCTTTCTTTCTCTCTCTCTCTCTCTCTCTCTCTCTCGCTCTCTCATACTCTCCACCCCCGTCCCTCCCAATTAACCTCCCGCCAAGCGTAAGATAGGATTCGCTCACAATTGCACGACGCCCTTGTATTACGTTTACCTCCTTATCTGCACGTTCACCTGTTATCTTAATTCGACTCTGTTTAATAAGATCTTGAATGCCCCCGTAGAATCGATTCCGGCACGAGCGACGAGCTTCGGGTCGCCGTTGGTGATAATATATATTTTTTTTTCGTTTTATTTAATGATAAGGCGCCTCGTCAAGATGGAGCTTTTAATTACGTAGATTAGAATTCTATGTTAATTGGATGTTATTAGTCGTCGATCGGACGAGAAGATCTCACATTGGCTTGCTTGGTGAAGAGTGCACGTTGTCACAAGGTCGTGCGATCGCCATTCAATGTTCACGATCCGATAAATTAGTACCAATTATTTCGATCGTTAGGCTATAAAGATGATTTTATCGTGGGGCGGTTTTCGTTTGAGAGGGAATGCGGATTTTTGCACAAATCTCTCGCATTGATATTCGGTGTACAGAGTTCCTTTCGATCGTTCGCCCATGCACCTGTCACTTCGCAATCGCATCAATTGAACTTTGAATACCCATTGATAATTGTACGATGATATGACAAGGTACTAATGATATAATGATCGCCGCTCGTGGAATTTGCCTTTACAATTACTTAAAGTTTTAAAGATGCCCTAAGGCTTTAATTATTCGTCCACTTCTTGTTCGATGGGAGGACTATTTGAATCGCCGTTCCCGTTGTCACTCGAGCGATGATATCTTTCGTTCGTCAGAGCGGCGTGAGCTTAAGCGTAAAGGCGCGCGAGGTAATTTAATCATTAAAACGTGATTACGGCTTAGAGTACGGAAGCCGGGAGACGTTACTGGACTACGACATCTTACGACATGGCCATTATCAATGTTAGCGACGATGCACGATATCTCGTTCTCGCTCGCTAAAACAATAGAAATATCGCTAGTGGGTCGAGGCATCATTGGCCCTACTCTCCCTCCCTCGCGCCCTAAATATATTACGACATTTAGACGTCGAGGAGTGACATTATTTTATTGGCTCGGTACGAGGGGGGGTGGGGGGGGGCAGACAGACTCATCCAGTCATTGAAGAATGTTCGAAGAAGGACAAGAAGCCCGATGAGACGAGTAGGGCATTGAGAGAGCGCGCGCGCGCGCGCTTGCTCCCTTCTTCATTGGCAACAATGTACATCGAGCGTACGAAACTTTCTTTTATAATTTCATTGAGGGTCAATCTAATTTCTGCCCCGTACACAGATATACGTGCACAGATACGGAGCAATGAGTTAATGTACGCCAGCGGCGACATCCACGTCGGCATCCACGTCGGCATCCACGTCGGCTTCTTCTAGCGCAAAGGCCAAAAAGCGTATCCCATTCTCTATGCGCTTAATAGCCATCGTTTAAAATTCAATTGCGCCTCCTCGCCCTATTATTTCGTTATTTAAAAGGGCATTGAGTGCATTCGTGAGAGCGATATTCCTTGTCTTATCGTATCTAAGCCGACGAATATGCCGAAATCATTTGCAATGGATAGTAGGACGCATGGGCAGCTGCAGAGACGCGTCGGGAGAGGTGAAATTATTTGGTGAAAATATTCGAAAATTTTATCGATGATATGATAGTTGTGGGACATGTTGCATCGGCGTATAGATAATGCAAATGAGCTATAAGCGCTTATCAGCCAGGCAGGCAGCAACGTGCAAATAACTGACAATATTGAATATTCAAATAGTAGACACTCTGGTGTGCTAATGAGTCACAATCTTTATTTAGCAGTTTTTTCGTTTGTTTGTTTTTTATTTTCCCTATTTTATTTCTTGTTTTGTTTTATTTTGTTTTGTTTTATTTTTTTTATTTTTTTTATTTTTTTTTTGTTTTTGTTTTATGTTTATTGTTTTTGTTTTTCTTTTCAAAAACCCAAGGGTAAGAGTATTTGGTTATTCGACAATGATTTTATTCATCAATCGCACATCAATTTAAATTGAACGACTGTTTTTCTCGAAACGTGTTTCATGAATTAGACCTTGTATCGTTTTTAAATCATCCTAAGGTTCAATTAAAAGTACTTAGCTCTACGATTCCTATTATTTTCAAAAATAAAATTTCTCGCGTACAATAAAATTAATAGTCCATTTGTCAAAAATACAAGAAATTCCTGCGTAATTTTATTAACTACGCGCAATATTTTCATTCTTATTTATTAAATTTTTCTTTTATTAATAATAGTATGGTTTGTTTGTTTGTTTTTTTTTTTCGACAAGTAGAATTATTTAAATAAATTATTATGCCACGCTATCGAGGAGATGGACATCAGGGAGCGAGTTTGCCATTGCTTTACTGACTGACATTTGCATAATCTCGGAAATTTGCAACGATTGTTTTTTGTCGAACGCGACACCATTTCAATTCAATAAAGTAATCTCAGCACCAAGAAAGCCTCATCTTATTCTCTTTGATTTATTATATTAAACATCGATAGATTTTATCGATATTTTTCTCGGAGTCATGCTGGCTGCATTTCTAATCCTACCAATGGCAATGGGTTTCCAGGTACGACACAATGTTTCAATTTGCCATTAATAAAGCAAAAGCATTGCATTTATTCGATTGTGGATACGACGAGTCGTTGTATGTATAGAAACTTGTTAAGTTAGCATCGTGAGTCGTAAGAATTTAAGAAAACTCGAATTATAAGGACTTCGAGCTAGAAATTTTCTTCGTCTCCTCTTCGAAAATATTTTTAGTTATTATCAATTTCAAGGTAAGCGCAGACGAGCAATTTTAAAGGATCGACAAACGACGTTATTCCCGCTATAATTTTAAATTGGTATTAAATTTAAACTCGTCTCTCGCTTATCTATTCGAAAAAAAGACCTATGCTGCTCTCTTCTTCTCTTTCTTTTCTCTTTCTCCGGCCGTCGTCTGGACTACCCAATAAAGTATTATTTGCCTAACTACGTTCTTAAAATTGACCTCCGTGCTTCATTTAATTGCGTTTCAAGTTAAATCTATCTATCCCTTTTTTATCCGCTTTATCCATTAAACTGCCTTCTCATATATGCATTAGTCAACTTTTGTTTTTTACGTCTTTGTTTAAATGTTTAAATGGTTACATATATATAATAAAAAACGAAAGTCGTGCCACGCAATAGACGAAATTTCTCTCCGGAAAATGAGGCGCATCATCGTCACATTGATACTCCTATCATGAAAAATCATGTATCGATAATGTCTCTCCTGCAAGCAACAATAAATGATTTAAAAGGACGAAATACTGCCGATGGTTATTACTGTAAATCCAATCCGACTTCCTTCTAGTTGGCCTTTCAAACAAGATTCAGTCAGTTTTCGCATCGCTAAAACAGTCATGTGGTAAATGCTATGCATTTTTTTTTTCTACGAGCGATGGTATTGAACTTGTTACTTGTTTAACAAGTCTAAGGTTCAAGAATTGTACATTTCTTTGTAATGCTTACTCATATCGCTACATCCGCCAAGCTTTTAACGAGAATTTCTATATTTTTTGTTCTATATTTCTATTTTCTAATTTCTATATTTTGTATTCTGTATTAATTAATTATTATAATATTAATTTAAGTATTAAAACCCTCCACTCTACTCGTTTTTCGTATTGTTATGTTCTCGAGGATTTATCGAGTCTAATTTTACGCGCGTTCGTTATTTCTTAAAATTAGAATGAACTTTTCTCAATAACGTCGTTTTTATCATATTTTAAGCAAACTACTTAATCAATTCGTTAATTCCAATAGTTATAAAGTAGAGCCTCTACGTTGCATCATTCACAAATGAGATGATTTTCAATTAAAACATCTTCAACTAATATTTCTTCAATCATTGCAGACTTTAATTATTTTATTAAGAAATTTACCTTAAACAACAACTGAGAAATTATGATTTTTTTTTTGTTTTTTTTTGTTTTTTTTTTTTGTTTTTTTGTTTTTTTGTTTTTTTGAATGCACATTTATCGCCCAAGACTACTATATCAAAACTTACGATACGAAACTAAAGTCTAATTTGCCTAATGTCCAAAATTTCATTAATTTATTCTCCACGTAAATACGTCCCTTTCACTCCTTTATTTCACCACACGCTGCTCGTCTCTTCATCTTGGTCTTGATATACTTTGATGGATATCCTGTTCTCAAAGCTAATCCTCTAACAATATCATTTATCATTGAATTTTAAGTTTTGCATAAAGTCTCTCTCCAAGCTATCATATCCTTTCTCCATGACTGTCTTTTTACACAACAACTCGGGCACGCGCAAATCATATTCATTTCCATGCCGTAAGCCATTCGACAAACTCTGCCCCGACGTAAATGTCAAGTTTCCTGCGACATATATACATTTGATATTTGCAGTTAATCCTAATAATGCTCTCTTCCTCGCACCGCCAATATCCTCACCCAATAAAGCCCCTCGTCCGAGCAATTTAGAATAGAAAGCTCGAAATAAAGGGCTCGCGAGGTTGAGAGATAGCGCTTTAAAGGTACGGGAAGCGGAGTGTCGTGTGCCTCGACGGAGCGGCCGGCCACATTCCATCGATGTAAAAAAAAAAAAATGCAAGGCCAGTTGAATCCCGGTCGTAAGAATCGGCAAGAGCGCAGAAGCTGTAGTGCCGGCCGGCGTTTTCGGATTGGCCGGTGAGGAGCGGCGCGGGAACGCGAGGACCAATCGTTCATGCGAGCGCCGTGTCATTCGATGTCCTCGAGCCAACCAATTGCGCCACCATCTCGCGAACCATCTTCCAGCAAGTATTTATTACGCGTATTTGTTCGTTGCAATAATTGCATGCGGTCTCGAGCGGCTGTGGAGGGGTGGGGACGCTGCGGGACAACCGAGAGCGCACCTACACGTTTAGAAAACATCTCGGTCTAGCCTTCGTTAACGGCAACGTTATCAATAATCTACTAAAGATGTTATTTCTCTCCCCCCCCCCACACACACACCCACATTCCCTCTCGGCCACCAATATCCCTTTATTGCCACGGGTTTGTAAGGGGCGCAGGAGCATTGCAAATAAATGCCAAGGGGAACATAACACGTGCAAGCGACTAGCGCAAGTAGGATGAATCGAACGATCCATTGTACGTAATAAAACAGTAAATGGAATGAAAACGTGTGCGTGCCTATGGGTTGCGACGTGGTCTGATCTCGAGGAGGGGGAACGGGAGACACACGCCCAGGGAGTCGCCCGCATATTTTGGAGTTTTGCAGGCTATGTTGCCGAGGCGAAAAACGACGACGGCGACGACGACGAGGATGAGGACGACCGGGCAGACTGTCGCTTTTAGCCGAAGTGTCAGCAGCTCGTCCCATCATGGCCTTCGCCACGGGATGCGATTTAACGGAGAGGCTGTGATAAAGAGCCGAGGGGAACAAAGATGCACGCGGTACGCGTAGGTGAAATCATAGACAATGCTAGCAGCCAGACGCGGTCGACGAACGGCATTGGCTGGTGGTATGCGCGTCGAGGCCTCACGCCACGTGTGCCGGCACACCGGCCACCCAATACCATTCGTCGCCTGGAATTTGTCGATTGGAATCGGCTTTCTTCCCTTATCGGAACTCGGATTTAGGTGGCGACGGCGGTGGCGGCGAAGGCGACGGTGGCAACCGATGGATTGGATGCCGCCCGCCCGGGCTTGACTCGCGGGCGTTAAGTGCTCCGGTCATTATTCATCCCGAGGACGCGACGACGACTCCGCGTTCCCACTCCCCGTACGCCCGTACGACCGAGGCTGCCATTGGCTCCCCGTTCCCCGTATGCGCGCACGAGCCTCCGCGCATACGGGGAACGGGGAATGGCAGGGCACGAACCCCGCGATCCGCACGGGGGAGAGAGTCCGAGAAGTCGGTCGTCGGGTTCAGTGAGCAGCGGCTTTCGTGAAACGTAGGATCATCGTGCGATCGATCGACCGATCGACCCTCCATCCGTCAGTCCGTCCGTTGCTTTAATAAAGCCGTTGCTCGTGCGTCCTCGTCCCGTCCCAGTGGCCAATCCCGACTGCCGTCAACGGCATCCACGTCCACGAAGCCATGCCTGAATTCTTCGGCAAGAAGTACAAGCTCTCCAGCAGCAAGAACTTTGACGAGTTCATGAAGGCACTCGGTACGCTATTATACTCCATACACGCACACTCGCACGCAAACGCGCGCGCGCCACACACACAGAGAGTCATAACGCTATTGCGCTTCTTATACGCGTTCTGGGTGCATAAGGGACCGGTGAGCGGAACGCGGGTGTTGGGGTAAATTGGGGTAAATCGCGAATTCCGTCGTTCGACGACGACCGGTTGACGCGTCTCTTGGTATTCCGAGCCGCCTACTCCCCTCAACGAAGCCGGCGATCGGCAATCCCGCCCGAAGAAGATCTCACACCCGCGATCCCACGCCCTAACGCCGATAGGTAGAGTGAAAGCGTCGCCCGTGCCGCGTTTATTATCGTAAATAGAAATGAACAGAGGAGCTGGCATTTGGGCGAGACTCAAATGGGAATAGGCAGCGACGATCGGAGGAGCAGTGGGAACGAGAGTGCGACACAGGACGTCGAGGAAGACCAGCAGCGTAATCCGTTCGAGGCTATATTGCCCGACGATTTTGTCACTCGATTAGGACGCGCGCCGGCGCCCGACTAACTGGTGCACCGGGATTTTCAGCCGCGTGCGAAATGAGCGCCGATGGAGATGTTCGCCGAGAGGAGGAACGAGGAATATGACGCGGAATATGATGTGTCGGGGAAACCAAACGAGGGGGAAAACGAAACGAGGCGGCTTCAGTTAGACGTACGAGTCGCCGTCCCCGAGTCTACCGAGACTACCGAGTCTACCGAGACTACCGAGTCTACCGAGTCTACCGAGTCTACCGAGTCTACCGAATCTACCGAGTCTACGATCGGGCAAAAAATACGTGACTTTGTAATGATTGTTAAATGTTTAGATAGATAGTGCGGCTCTTTTTTCCAACTGACGAATTTTTATCGCTCTTATCGACCTTTGCGCACGCCCGATAATACACGACGAATAGCGATAATCGCCGCTGACTTTGAACTTAAAGGCAGTGGAGTGTATGCATTGCCGTGTTATTAGTTTCCTTAAATTTTTGCAATCTTCGAATCTTCGATAAATTGCCATCCGCTTCGTTTGGCCTGCGTAGCGCATCGATCAAGCTTATGCAATGCTTTACATTTGAATTTTTCCTTCAAGATTGTTTTTTCTTTTGTCTCTCTTCTTCTTTCTTTCATCGCTTTCTCTCTCCCTCTCTCTTTAGAATAAACTTTATTTCAACCATTTGCCTCGTTCCTTTTTTTTTTATCTTTGACTTTATTATTTTTATTCATTTTTTTCCTCTTTTCCTTCGTTACTTTATTATTTCTTTTATTTTTTGTGTTAACAACGGAAAATATTGCTAAACGAATATTTTTAATTAATATATTCTTTCCAAGCGAATGATAAATTAAAACCGAATGTGTAGAGTAGAGCAAACATTTCTCAATAGTCAATATTATAAATTCGATAATATCGACTACATTTGTTTACATATAAATATAAATATAAATATACATATGTATATATATGTATATATGTGTGTGTACACACACACACACACACACAAACGCACACGCACACAGGCATATATATGTGCGCACGTGTGCATATTCATGTATATATGTGTATCAAGGTCATGAAGTTGATATTGAATTTTGAGGATAATTTAACGTAATTAATATTAGTTATTTAAACGTCACTCCTATATCTAATATGCCATTACATTGGAATGAAATATATCAATAATCTTGCAAGAGTGACTATGTATGAGGCACTTTTGCAGATTACAAACATTATAACATGACGATACGTATCGCGAGATAATGATTTCCGTCATTCGGCATTGTATAATCGAATTTGACAAAAGGGTAAAAATGCATTTATCAGACAACGAAATATGAGAAACATTAATTTATGAACCACCACATGTGAACATAATTATTTGACGTACATTGCTTGTTATATCATTCCACTGGTGATGTAGCATTTTTGCGATAAGCAACAAATTGCACTTTAATTTCTACTCGATACTTTTCCTTTCTGTGCGCACTACTACTGCTACTGCTACTACTACTACTACTACTACTACTACTACTACTACTACTACTATTATTATTGTTATTATTATTATTATTATTATTATTATTATTATTATTATTATTATTATTATTATTTTACTTGTATTTTATTTCTTTTTTATTTTTATTACATCATCTTATCGTATTCAAACTGCCTCTAACTGTCGCGATAGACATTTGTTCTTAAAATTTTTGTTGCGATGATTCGTCAGTTTCAGTGTCATTGACATAAAAGATCGAAGGAAATGATTACACACTCTTATAAATTGCTCCGTCGCTTACTAATATCTTTCAGTCTTGTTTAAAAGTCCGGGCTACCTACGTCGTTAAAATTTCGTCTCCTTAATCGTTAATCTGTGATTTTCTTGGAATACCAAAATGTCCAGCTTCTTAAGCAAAAAATACAAATTAACATCGAGTGATAAATTTGACGAGTACATGAAAGCCCTCGGTGAGATAATTAAAATATTTGATCAATTACTTACAACGTTTGCGTTTAACGAAAGTTTACAAATTGCTAGCAAAGTCCTCTCTAATCGATTAACTTCGTATCGAAAAATACTGATCTGACTTATACTTTTTCTACTTGTTCAGTTACGTATTCTTTATCGCCCGAGTATCCCTTTGCACTTGATTTCGTCAATTAATAACTCTTGTCTAATCGTAAATGAAAAATATATTAGAAAGAAAGAAAGAAAGAAAGAGGTTGATGTGATAGGCGTCTTACACGGTCTTACAATGCTTAGCTCACTGATTATTTAAAAAGCTTTCGAACGTTAGGGGAAGCATCGAGGTGTAGAGGATAATTATAAACAAATGCACTTTACAAGGCCTGGTGCAAGTGCTATTGTAATTAACAAAAAAAAAATTTTTTGATTGTTTTATATACAGGTGTCGGCATAATAGTCCGAAAAATGGGAGCTACCGTAAGTCCAGTTGTCCAAGTGACTAAGGATAATGACGAGTACACCTTGAAAACCGAGAGCACATTCAAGAACTCGGAAATCAAATTTAAACTTGGCGAGGAATTCGAAGAGGAGACGCCCGATGGCCGCAAAGTCAAGAGTATCGTCACGCTGGACGGGAACAAAATGACTCACATACAGAAGGGTGACAAGCAAACAGTTATTGAACGAGAATTCACCCCCACGGAAATGACAGCGGTGAGTAAAGATTATAGTTATAGGCATTTGTCCGAGTAATTTTCAATTAGTCGTCGAGTCTACACTCGATGTCTCTAACGCAATGATTATATAATTAGAAATATTTTGTTCTTTGATTGAGTATTATGCATTATCCTTGCTGCCGCTCCTATGTTAATTTCACGATAAACATTACAATTTTAAATTTTATTTGATAGAAGAGAGCTAATAAGTCATTATAACCAAGGCTGTAATTATCATTAATTAATTACCATATCATTGTGACGTATATAGCAATTTACATTAGGAGCGAAGTTTTAAAGAATGGCCGTGACTTGCAGTTATTCGGAATAAATAACGTGAAATAAACATAAGTCCGTATTGTTCGTTTCAAATTTAAAAATTTAAAATTTTATTATTATTATTGTTATTAACGATTTAAAGATATTTCTTTATAATATAATGTACTCTCTATATTCTTTAATTGCACAAGTTAATAATTATTTGATTATTTGAGAAAGAAAAAAAATTACAAATAATTAATTAATAAATAACAGTTAAAAATAACTGATAAATATTGAAATATTAAATTTATTTTTAATTCTTTTTATCTTTCATCTATTGTCTTGCCTTTTATTGATAATTCATTTTTTATTTTAGGTTATGAAGGTTGATGACATCGTTTGCACTAGGGTCTACAAGATTGAAAACTAATTCTATTAAGAAATTACTGTATGATTTTTATACAATATTAATTAAAAGATTTGAGAGAACAAATCCAACGCTATGGAGAATTTGATGACTTGAAGATACATCAAATTTAAATCGACCAATTATTTGTATAAATATCTTTTATTTTAAAACTATTTATCCCTTCGTTAATATAAAGAAATAACTTCATGTTTATATAAATTGCAAATTTTGCATAAATAAAAAATTTCTTAAATAAATTAGCTTTTAATATCAATGCTAGCCCTCGCTATCCTTATCACAGATTATTAATCGTATCCCTCCAATGTGGCTCGACACTCATTGGATGTAACGGATTACCTATTCATCCCATCTTATTAACAACTCTCTATCTCTCTGTTGTCTGTCTTGTCTCTCTCTCTCTCTCTCTCTCTCTCTCTCTCTCTCTCTCTCTCTCTGTGTCTCTCTGCCTATCTCTGTTTTCACTATACAACGGAAAGCCTAATTATAAATTTCAATTGCAATATCTTTGCTACACAAATTTTATTTGAACTCGTGCGCCTTAATGTTACGCCGTAATTCGTCAAGCGATAACTTCAGGCGGCACCAAACCACCAACCCGATCTCTGTACTCTGAAGTCTGAACGCCTCTGAGGAATCAGCTGGTGGCTAGTTTTGGACCATGAATTCTATTAATATAGTCTAGCGGCCTGGCGGCCTAGCGCTAGCAACGTATTAATTCTTAATTTGCCTTTGGCCTTTGAATCAGGTGCTTTCCCTTAAAAAAAGTTATGACTTAAAAAATCGCATTTGTGAGGAATTTCTAAATATTGTAAAAAAAGAGGATCATCGACATGAATGTATTGCCAACGTCTGTGATAAGTTTTACAGTATTTAAGAGTTAAATTAGTTATTAGCATGGTACGTTAAATATTATTTTTTATTTATCATGTGTCTATTGGTATTGTCTATTAGTGCGAAGTAATAAAATAATCGCTTATCTGCCTGCCAATGTGTGCTTTTCAAACATTCGAATAATTCAATTTAACGTACTATTTGAACTTGAATTTATTAATTAGTAGAATTGACCATAACCTTAATTAATATTAATTTAATTTGATTGGTATTTTTGGTTACTTTTCAGGCTCTATTAGGAGCGCAATTGGTTATTACATTGATAATGGTCAGTGTAATACAAAAATTAGGTTCTCATATATCAATAGCAAAATGGCTTTTATGCTCAACTGGGTAAATATTTTGTATACTGATATCGAGCGGTGGCTCTTGAATATTATATTGAAATATTATTATTGCTATTATTTGGCAGATTAACGCGATATCTTTATCCAACGGACCAAAAATTAAAAACATTAGTGGGTATACCCAAGGAGAAGCACAGGAAGGGGAAGCACATAGAAAATGGAAAAACCCTGGAAACATTTCAAATACCAAGAAATTTAGATATTACACTGGAGACTGCACCCGTAACGTCGCTCGATGTTATACATTTAAAATTCTATGCAGATTTTCAGTGGTTATTTGATTTCTCCATTTATGGCGCGATTGTATATATTATGACCGAGGTAGATCTTATAAAATTTATAATATTTAGTATGAGTATTGTATACTTAAGTATTGTTAAAAGCAATTGATATTTTTACTAAATTTTATAGAAAAATATTAACATTAATATAAATGTCAGATGTTATATTTTTCATATCTGGTGATAGTTAATGTTTGCTTAAGAAACCTTATTTACAAAATTATGCATTATGTATAGTTTATTAGTGAACATTGGTAATGGTAATACTGTATTATTATTCTGTAGATTTCAATTTTTTGCTTATATTAAGCTAGGATTTGAAGTACTTTGTTCATCGATACATCCTCATATAATGCGCCTTTTGTTATATTTATTTGTTATTTAAATAGGTGTATAATAATTGGTATCCAATTAAAGATGAAATTAACTTGAGTATGCTGTGGTGTTGTTTGATTATAGGATTTGCATTGTATCCTTTATTAAAAAAAATTATAATTGAATAATATAGCATTTAAATTAAACCAAAATTTCTTAACGCTTATTAGTAAAATTTTAATTGCCCTTTGGGTACAATATTTCAAAAGTGAAGAAAGTATCGGAGAAAGATCAACTTGTATTGTAACAGGTTTTTCTTACCTTTTAATAGCTATGATGGTTCTTATAGTAGATGAGAATACTCTTGAATTGGGTTTAGATACCGCTTACACGAGCTTTAATCACACCGCTTCTGTATTTCTGATTAATCAGGGCCTTCTATCTAGGTACTTTTGATACTTATATTTCAGGGATTTTTAACATATATAAAAAGTATAATTATTTATTTCAATTAACAGTGGACCAGCATCAAAAATTTTTATTAAATTCACTCTAGCTGTATTCTGTGGTTTTCTTGGCTCGCTATTCACATTTCCAGGACTGCGTGTATCTAAAATGCACTGGGATACATTAAGGTAGACTATTGAATTGACTAATGAATGTATTTCTAATTCTAATTATACTGTATATAATATTCTAATAATTTGCAACTCTTACTTTTAAAAGGTATCACAAGGATAATAAACTTCTTTTGATTCTTGCTAATCTTAGTTACGTTTTTCCTCTAATACTAGTAAGTTTGTGGATTAAGCCAATAAGTCGGGATTACCTTACTGTAAGAATTTTTTCTGGCATGACAAAACCTCTGTAAGCTCACTAAAATATCTGTAAATCAATTTTTAAATAGTAAAAATTAAAAAGTAATAATAATTCATTTTTATAGAATGACAGCCAGTGTTTTCGAAAGTTTGAGATTAATAGTCATTATTATTGCTGTTGTTTTAAAGATAATATTAATGCCCGTTTATTTACAATCTTATTTAAATTTGGCACATCAAAGGTTAGAAATACAAAAGAAGGAAGCAGGTAGAATTTCAAATATAGAATTTCAAAAGAAAGTATGTTTATTGGATATTTTTATAAATATACGTCAACTATTTTCCTGTTACATTTGTAATAATTATTTTTCAGATAGCAGCAGTATTTTATTATCTTTGCGTTGTAGCCTTACAATATATCGCTCCATTAATTATTTGCTTATATTGTACATTAATGTACAAGACTTTAGGTAATAAAAAAAGTTTTACAACAATTTCTAATAAATTAATATTCTACATATATAATTTCGAAATTTTTAAATTTTTAGGAGGTTATAGCTGGGAGGGAATATATAAAAATTTAGAATTAGAAGAATGTCAAGTACCACAACCGTTTTCAGGATCAAAAATGTTTACCGATGATGATAAAACAGTAACAGAAAGAGCTCAAGAATTTCAGTTGGCGTTAAGTTCAATGAAGCAGGTAAATTTTGTTAAAAAAAATATTCACCCTTAACGTATAATCATAGTAGAGTCTTTGATTTAAAGTAATATTATTCTTACATTTTATACAATTTTCGTATATTAAACTTATATATCATTTTCAATTAATAATTGTATTTTAATTTTTTTTTTTTTTTGTTCCTTTTTTTAATAAATAATCGACATTTATTTCACAATACCTTTAAATATGATTTTTTTTACTTTTCATTATTCCTTCGTTACTCTTTTAAAAGTTTAGAATCTATAGTATGAATAAATAAAAAAATTTTTCAAAATATTTAGGGAGTTTCCTCGTTTTTTACAAAGATGAATTTAATTTTCAGATATTTACCATTGAAGTATATAGAGGGATATTTGGCTTGGCAACATGGTGGACTTGTTTTACATTATTTGCCACTACAGCAATGGGAATGCTTTATCAAAGTTATTTCAACAATGTATAATTTATTTATGAGCTTGTAAAATTAGTTTTGAATATTTGTACAAAGTTTTGATAGTAACCGAATCATTAATTAATAAGACAAAAAAAAACAAAAAATTAGAAATATTAATACTTGACCTCAAATGACAAAAAAAGGGAAAATATTTCCTTAGATGTAACAATTGTGAAACAGGCTAAGCAGTGCGAAGAAACGTATTGCCAATTGTAGTAAAGTAACTTAAAGTACAAATCTTGATACAAGATAATAATTGCTTTCAAACAATTTTTTAGTTTAGAAATATTTAGATTTAAGATTTACTGTGAATAGTTATATTTCAAAAATTTAGAAAGATTTTGAAATATTTGAAAAGTATTCAGCATTATTTTAATGGTATATATATATATATATATATACATTGCTTGAAATGTAGACGAACAAACCTTTTCATCGAACAGACGTTTAAATCGAAATTATTAACTGTAAATAATGAAAACTTAAAACAATAAAGAGATCTGGAATTTAACTAGAGAACGAAAAAATGCAACATTCATTTAATTATTTATCACTTTATTCAAGCTTAAAATAAGTCAAAGATACTTTAAAATAACTGAAATTGTCTGGGACTGTCGACAAAAATGGTAGGATATATGTGAAAGGAAGGTGATAATTGGTGCTGAGCTAAAAATAGAGAATACAGGGCGTACGTATGTCCAGTATTTTTGACTTACGGATTTTCTTACTTCTCACCACCAGTGTAGTAGCGTTTCATTCGCCCATTACACGTCCAATGGCTTGACTTTCCGAGAGTCACCCGAACGTTTCGATTGTATTTAATCTGCGAAACTTCTCAAATCGACATTTACAATATTAAAAGACGGCGCGGGAAGTATGCAGCTCTCACAACTTGAACAGACTTTGTGAAGTTCGAATCTTATATAAACGTGCATCAGACAACTGCACTAAGGTAGAATTTCGTAGCTGGTAAAGGTAAAAAGGTGAGAAAGCTTATTATTTATAATTATCTTGAGCTGCGAAATATTATTTTACGATTTGAAAGACTTTTATTTTGTTTTTTGTTTTTTGTTTTAATTTTATCAATAGGAAAGTGCTTCAACGTTCATCCATTGAATCGAAAGCTCTTGTATTTCTAATTGAGAAATTATATTGCCTATAAGTGAAAAATAAAACGAATTAATAAAAAAAAAACCGGACTGCTGTGTAATATACGAAATAGATGAAAGTGAATATTGAAATAAAATAATAAACTAACGAAATTTTTAAATGTCTTTTTGTTGTTGTTTGTTTTTGTTTTTATTACAACGTTTATCATTATTAAGAATGCTAAGAGTGGCTCTCGCATTTATTTGCAAGAGTCAGAGAAAATGAAATTACACTATATTGCATATGGCTACTATGTGTTAATTCCAAAACTGCGTGGGCGTTTAATGCCGTGACTCAAGTACATATGACGCACTTAGCTTAATAAAAAAGACAACTTGAATTATTTATTTTTAACTAAATTAAAGGAATTTTTGTTTCGCGATAATTTGCTTGAAAATTTTTAATAAGTAACCAATTTCATTAAACAAGGTTAAAAAGTATATGAAATTGTATTTTCTATTAATGAAACTGACGACAGTTTTATTTTTAGACAAAGATGTCCAATGTTCCTGTAATTGGAATCGATCTTGGTACTACGTACTCTTGTTTACTGTCGGCGTTTTTCAAAATGGGAAGGTGGAGATTATTACGAATAATCAAGGGAATAGAACAACACCAAGTTATGTCGCTTTCACCGATACGGAAAGACTTGTGGGCGATGCTGCGAAAAATCAAGTTGCAATGAATCCCAGTAATACTATTTTTGGTATGTAATAAAAGTCATAATTAACATTTTAAGTTGAAAAGGTTCAAATTGATTTATAAATATTTAAAAATAATATTTATTTACATATAGATACATATATATATATATATATATATATATATATATATATATATATATATATATATATAACAAGCATAGGCAGTGTAAAAATAAATTAAGAATTATTGTCGTATTTATTGTTTTTATTGTTCAAGTTTGGTAGCAAAAATCGTCATTGCTTGGATATTAAGATGAAAAGAAAATTAGTTGCTATAATATCGTAGCACTATAATAAATTTATAGATACATTTATATATCATTTTAAATAAATGAAAGGAACAATAAAAGAAAGAGAAAAAAACTAGACAAATAGATGATCTTAACAGACAGTTGTAAAAGTATGAAATCGATTGATTAACAAGTTTTGTGAGACTCGTTAATGAAATAAAATCAAATATACAGAATATTATACCATGACCAATAATCCATAAAATTGATTTAACCACTAAATTCTTCAATCTTTTAGATGCGAAACGCTTAATCGGCCGTCGTTTCGACGATCAGACTGTTCAAAGCTGTTCAAACTGTTCAAGCGACGAAAGACGCTGGAACGATGTCTGGTTTGAATGTATTGCCCATCATTAATGAATCGACGGCGGCTGCCATTGCCTATGGCCTTGACAAAAAGACATCTGGCGAAAAGAACATATTGATTTTCGATCTTGGCGGCGGCACCTTCGACGTATCCGTCCTAACGATCGACAACGGAATTTTCGAGGTCAAGTCCATTGCCGGGGACACGCACTTGGGCGGTGAAGATTTCGACAATCGCATGGTGAATCACTTTATCCAAGAGTTCACTCGCAAATATAAGAAGGACATGTCCGGCAATAAGCGAGCAGTGAGACGTCTCCGAACATCATGCGAGCGAGCCAAGCGAACTCTCAGCTCGTCGACGCAAGCGAGCATCGAGATCGAATCGCTTTTCGAAGGAATTGACTTTTACATCGTCGATAACGCGAGCTAGATTCGAGGAGCTTTGCTCCGACCTCTTTAGGAGCACGCTCGATCCCGTTGAGAAGTCATTGCGCGATGCCAAGATGGACAAAGGCCAAATTAACAGTATCGTTCTCGTTGGCGGATCGACGCGAATCCCGAAAATCCAGAAGCTGCTACAAGACTTCTTTAACGGCAAGGAATTGAACAAGTCCATTAATCCAGATGAGGCCGTTGCTTATGGAGCAGCCGTGCAGGCAGCGATTTTGCACGGAGATAAATCAGACGAGGTTCAAGATTTGCTTCTCCTCGATGTCACACCATTGTCATTGGGTATCGAAACCGCTGGCGGAGTCATGACTACCCTCATCAAGAGAAATACTACCATTCCAACGAAGCAAACGCAGATTTTTACTACGTACGCGGATAATCAGCCTAGAGTGTTGATCCAAGTCTACGAGGGTGAAAGAGCCATGACGAAAGATAACAATCTCTTAGGTAAATTCGAGTTGACGGGAATCTCTTCAGCTCCACGTGGTGTGCCCCAGATCGAGGTGACGTTCGACATCGACACCAATGGCATCTTAAATGTATCAGCGGCTGATAAGTCTACGGGCAAAGAGAACAAAAATAACAATTAGAAATGACAAAGGCCGTCTATCCAAGGAGGACATTGAACGAGTGGTAAACGAGGCGGAGACGTACAAAAATAAAGACAATCAGCAGCGGGAGAAGATAAGTGCTAACGATGCCTTGGAAGCTTATTGCTTCAATATGTAGAGTATTGTCGAGGACGAGAAATTTAAGGACAAAATGAACGATACTGATCGCACAGCCGTGATAAAGAAGCGCAATGAAGTTATTGCTTGGCTGGATGCCAATCAACTGGCTGAGAAGGATGAGTTTACTGGCAAGGAAAAGGAACTGCAAGCGGTCTGTAATCCAATAATTACGAAACTTTACCAGGGCGGTAATGTACCAGAGGGGAAGCCATCTGGCGATGGAACTGGAGAACCAACCATTGAAGAAGTCGACTGAATCAATTAATGAGATTTCATATCGTGAACAAAATATTTTCGTACCATACACCCTTTCTTTCATTAAAAAAAAAAAAAAAAAAGAAAAAAAAAAGGATTCTTTCCCAATTAGGTGGTTTAACTCGTATCGTTATACATTATAATAAGTGCTTGTAGTCGACATTGAAATTCTTAACAAACACCATTACACCATACAACTACCATTGTATTAAAAGAAAAAAAAAGAAAACAACAACAACACGAAAAAAGCAAAACAAAACAAAACAAAACAGAACAAAACAAAAAGCCTATTGAAGTTATTTATTTTATTTACACTGTAAACAAATAACAATAAATTATCATTTTCAAATCAAATGCTCTCCATAAAATGTATTTTTTGTGGTTTTTTTTCTCACGTCATATAGTCGACATAGTCATGTCTATCTAAATATCATTTCCCACTATGAAAAATTTCATTATAACATAATAAAAAGGTTAAAACTGCGTAATTACCGATCACGTAGGAAAATGAGCTTTATTGGCTCAACGCTTATATTACAATTTATCGTACAGTAAACATTCAAAACTGGCTAAACGATAACGCTGTTTACATTGATTTATTTATTATTTTTTTTTTTTATAAACATTATGCACATCAATCTTCCATCTTGTAGTTCAATCGATCTTTATCATATTAATTTTATATCTTAAATCTTACAGAACTTCAATTCGACAAGTTTGCATTCAGACAATTGAATGACCGCTATTAACAATTTTTTTTTTTTTACCAATTATTTTCAATAGAATTTTCTTCCCATATCATTGTGTATATAATAATAATAATAATAAGCTGAATAACGTAATTTTCTAGAATTAACCGATGTCTTATTACATCGTCATGTCAGCTCAAAATCCAATCGCTTAATGGCTTTTTTATCTCATATATTTTACAATAATTTAAAGCAAACAAATGCTACAGAGATTTTATCCTTTGAAAAAGGCAGCATACGCTTGCTTTATTTGAAAGATATCGTCTATCGGTATATTATGGGTAATTCGGTTTCCATTTATTATTTTTATTACATTAACAAATGCACGTCTCTTATCATTTTAGAATTGCAAGTGCGAAACTGTTTTTCCTACTTAATCGATATGTAAACATTTAATCATCCACATAAAGCGTATATAAACTTAATACCAATAAAATATGTATAACAAATAGATTTTAATTACTTGTCCGGCTAATTTGAATTTATACAAATAATCAGTAATAAATTAAGTTTGTATCTAGAAAGATAAATTCATATCTTCTTTCATTCTAACACTTTCTTAAATACAAATCTAAAGTATATTGTTTTGTTTCTTTTTCTTAGGCACACTTGTTAGCAACGACTGTTTTGCTACGGTATTTGTTCAGGAGTAGATATTTTTAGATGTGTTTGTCACTCACGAAAATAAATCTAAATCAATTTCTTTTCCCATTTACGATCGGTATTTCGTTAATAAAAAAATTAATTCGCACTTGCAGTCTCATTAGATACTTATGTGTACGTATATATTTTGTCGTTAAAAATGCTCCGTAAAATCGATTCACTAAATTACCAACGATAAAATAGCAGAAACGAATATATTATTGATCATCATGGACAAGAAGCAAGCTTAATTGTACGGTCGAGGTATTCGAAACCACTCAAATCAAATTAATAAAAGAAAAAAGACTATTTTTATAGAAATTATTTTTAAACCAAAGATTAATAATAAGTATTGACGTATAAAAATCCGAGGACTAGTATATTTGATTATATTATGTTATGAAATTAGGCTGTCGCATGTCACAAAGACACGTGACGACTTGACTTTAAAGCCAATTCCGCATATGATATACATTATGACATTATATAGAGTGAATTTTAATTGAACTTCGATACAAAAGATCCTAACGTAAATACTTAAACGTCAAACGTTTCTTCTCTCCCTCCTCTATACAGACGTATAAATGCAATATTTGAACAATCGCCTGAATTATCGCGATAGCCACGATGTAGCTACCCTTTTTATGAGAAAAATACCAGATTTCTAGCAACAATTGGTAAAACGCCAATCCCTTTATTATCCGATGAATTGAGCGAGAATATATGTATGCACGTATATAGATGCATTTGTATGTACATGTGCACGCGAATGCACGCACACAGTGTGCATTTGTGGCAGATGATGCGTTATGTATGCGTGGGTTATAAGCGATACATATCGGAGGATGTACAAGGTTTCGCGTCATTTTCGAAGAGCGGACTCGACGGTTCGTTATTGGTCGTTGTCGTGCTTCTGGTTTTGTTGTCATCGGCTGCATTGCTCATGGCACCCGATGTCGTCGGTATTTGCTGAAATGGAAATGGATGAACATTTGTTAGATATTCGTGATAAAGTGTGTGAAGTATGTGTCGTAAAATTGGCGAGGGTTGAAATGTGTGCGATAAGCGTGAAAATAATTGCATTAACCTGCCGTTATGTAAATGAGTAAATGAGACGTATGAAAATGTTTTAAATAAAGTCGCTTAGACGCGGGGCGATGTAAATTATAGGGTATGACAGCTCCTTACTGCAATATTTTCATAAATAACTATCGCTTTAAGGATATAATGTTAATTTCAAAATGTCTATGCATAACGATGAAATTGCAGTTTTCTATAAATAAGCTCGTAAGCTTAACTCATTCTCTAGGTCATAGTAATTTGGAATTACAAATTTATCTCGTCGAAATTATAACGTAAAAACAGATAAATTGATTTAAATTTTTTTTTTATTTTTTTTATTTTTTAATGCAGCGAAGATTATTATATAAATCATCACGAATGTATTTCATAAAATACAATAACACTTTTAATATTTAAAAAAGTTTATGTTTATTTATATAGCCTGTAAATATGTTATGCAAACTCTGCTGTTTCTCGTATTTTCATCAACAGCGTAATTATTTATTTTCAAAGCAATTCGTTATTTTGTTTTTAGATACAACTATTTTCTTACAAAATCAGTGTAATTTATAACGAACTGCGAAAAATATCCAATGAATACAAAACTGACGTTCAAGATCATCCGTATATATTTATGGTTTTAAAAAGTTTTACGAGCATTAAAAAATATTCAAAATATCGTGAAAAAAAATATATATATATATATATAAATATATATATATATATATATATATATATATATATATATAGAGAGAGAGAGAGAGAGAGAGGCGTAGAGTAAAATGAAATCTCAGTGTCTACGATGTTTGTTTATAAAATTTCTGGGATATAAAGCAACCATTTATCTTTAATTTCCAATCTATTATCGTATTATATATTATAATCGTATAATCTTATATATATATATATAAAATTTTATTACGTCTTATTTTTATTTTCAAATAAATATTCATATTTTTTAAAATCAACACGGAGATTTTACTTAATAACTTTTATCGTTTGACAAATACTTTTGATATTGTAAAAATAGCCGAGATGCTATTGTATTTCTCTGTTCCTCTTGTCTTTTTCAATGTTTGCACAATGCTTCAGCCACATATTCTGGAACACGATAAATTTCATTCATCTGTCAAGAGCACAGATTAAGGAATAAAAGTGGATATATTAAAGCACTTAAGTCATTTTCAAGTTACGTCGGCTACAAAATCTTTGCCAGCCGTGTAGTTGCGTAGCTATGTATTGACTAAATCATTTCTATACCGGATATTATGTTTCGAGATGTAATCTTACAAAGTTTCTACTACACGCATCACAATTGACAGTTTCATGTCGCAAGTGAAATAAGAGACGAAAAAATTCTTTCTATTTCATTACTTCGACTTTAAATCAACACTTTTTAAAGCTTCAAAATTCAATCATTTAGAGTGAGTCTAAAAACTCCACTAAAGCACAATGTCATTCATTGTATCATAATATTTTATCATACTCAGCCCTAATATGAATTTACTTTTATTACGGACCTCGATAAATCCGAGGATTTGCAAGTAAATTTTTAGACGTACAAATTGTATCAACAATATTCTAATGTGTGTCGTATGAAAGAGAATTTGTCGTTGTTCGCTGAAAAACTTATCGAATTCTATTTAAAATAGTCTTATTTATGACAATATTAATACGATCTTTATTTCATAAAAATAAATGTCATGCCATCGTGACGTAATTGAGACAGTAGGTATGTAAAACTGTGTCGCCGGGTGTCAAAAATTTAATAGATGTCAAGAAAAACCGGGATACCACCTAAACGAATGAAACCATAACGTTAAAAGTACAGATTTAGCAAGTAATAATAAATTGACCCGACTTTTTATATTAATTATCTTATTTTAACGGCGTGTGCCGAATACTTGAAAATTAATTTAATTTGATAGTTAAAGGGCCCGAGTGGGTGAAGGAAAAAAGTGAAGTTTCGTTTTATCATCTTAGGATATATTAATTGATGGGGCTAGAGATTTTTGGATAAAAAAAAGCTTCGGCTCCCAAAGGAGTTTCGAGATGAAAAAACATAATTTTAGCGACGATGGGTGAGTCACCTCGTTATAGAAGATTTCGGTAGCTTCCTCCACGGAGGGCAGGAGCTCGTCGGTGGAGTGAGGCGTCCTGGGACTGGGGATTGGCGCGACCGATTGTTGCTGTTCTTGTTGTTGATATTGCTGCTGCTGCTGCTGCTGCTGCTGTTGGTGCTGCTGCTGGTGGTGGTGCTGTTGCTGTTGTTGCTCCCGATGCTTGAGCTTGAGCTCAACGAGAGCGTGGCGCTGCTCCTTTTCGTTTCTCTCGCGTTCGAGGCGACGTGCGCTGTAGCTTTTGGCCGAGGAGGTCGAGCTATGGATCGAGGCCAAACTCGGTCGACGCGATCCTGTCGAATTTAATGAGATAGTAAGCTCGGTATTTATGTTCCCAACCACATGCTCGCCTGTACTTTATTTTACTAATGTTATTTAATTTAATTGTTCTATTTCATTTAGCGCTAGCCTCCTGGTATTGTCTTTATTTTTGTTTTACAATACTTTTCACTTTTCATGTTCGCCGCTTCTGGTGTAATTTAAGCATATTTGGTGAGACGAAGCACCGATTGAATCTCAGAGAGTCGTATAAAATAAGTTTAACTTAATGTATTTTTCTATGTAATAGAGGCTGGTGATTTTAATCCGAATTTTTAATAAATTTTCAAAACTGGTTATTAGATGATTTGTCAGTGTATATAAAAATATTTAAGCCGTCGGTAATGAAATATTTTATTTTTTATCTAGAAAGAAAATTGTTTTTTAATTTTTTTATTTAAATAATTTTAATCATTTTTTAAGCAAATAATCAAATAATTCATTTGTCAAAGAGACTTAAAAGGTAAAGATTTTTAAACCATTAATTGAGTTCGACGCATTTTCGAGGCCTAAGTATGAAACTTGTAAGGCACATAGCTTGAGAAAACCTTTCGTTCTATAAAGAAACAAAAACAAAAAAAAACAAAAACAAAAAAAACACTATAAAACTAAGAATATTTATATAAATAGCGAATGAAATTCTGCTCTGTTTTAAACATTTTGATAAGTAAAATTAATTTTTATGCAAAATTAGTGCTCATTTTGCTAGAGTTATAGATTAATTAAACTTCATTTTATCGATCAATAAAATAGTCAATTTTACGTGGTTTAAAATCTCATATTGTTAAACATGTTTTACAATATCTCCCTTACATTTTGTATTTATAGTTGCGCGAAATACATATTTCAAGTATATAATATACGAATTAAAACTTTTTCTACGATCGAAAACTTATGATTGAATTTTACTTTTATAAATATTTCTATTTATTATTAAATATATTATTATTATTATTATTATTATTACTATTATTTGCTTATGCCAATAATAGCATTAAAATACAAGAAAGCTAGGCGTATAATATTCTATGATGTAAACATTCCAAAAAATATATTAATATCATGCGATTGTTAAGATTAATGATCTAATGTTTGAACAAATCCTCTATTTGAGTAGTTAAAGTAATTATTCTAATACATTCCATAAAAGTATTCATGTTAAAACTTTAAATGATTTGTTTAATCGATCGATTTTTTTGGGAATAAAATGTAGAAATTGAAAGTTACCTAATAAGGAATTCAGTACAATTTTGTTTTTGAACGTAACTAAACCAAAGCGATGAAAACAAAAATTATTCATAGTATTATTATAATAATAATTGATTATTCGTTATTGAAAAAGAGTTATTCCTTTTAAAACACTATTTGATAATTGATACTTCTAATTATATGTTATTATAGTACAATGGCAAGATTATAAAATTGTGATGATATATGCAAAATTGCATTGATGGATCACAGACTTCTTTGCAAATCTAATTTTTTGTTGAATATTGGTAGACAAAGTCACGTATATGATTCAAGAAAGTAGCGAATGCTTTCTTGCCTATGGATTTCAATTATTCGAACATCAGATCCTTTATCTTGAACATTTAAGAAAAAGGTGACTCAGCAAAATATGATTATACTTTTAAATAAATTAATATCAAACCAACTATTCTAAGTTCAATGGGCACTTATTACTGCATAGTAAAAATAGCTATTTACTTTCTCATTATTCATTTTCCATAAATGATTGTAATAATGGCAATACAGTAAAGCAGTAAAAATATAAATCGCATGCATTTCATTTAATAATTTTTGAATGTGAGTGCAGCGAGTTTGCTAGTGTTATTGTAAAGTACATAATGTGATTAAATTGTTTATAATATAATTAACACGCGTGGTTGTATCTTACCACAAAATCGGTGAATTCACAATACGTGTGTTTGTGTAGTTAAACTAAAATAGTACAATAGTATACCGCTGCCATCTTGCTGTCTCGTAATAGCAGCCTTTTAACAATTTGTATTAAAATTTTATTGTCAATCAATGTGTCAATCAAAACATCTTGGTGACTTCACATTAATTCTACAGACTTTTATATATCAAACATATTGTTTCTTGATAAACAATGACTCTCGAGCTTTATAATAATTTTTATTTTTATTTAATCAATATCCCGGGATTAAGAATTACAGTCAGGTGTATGTAATTATACACGATAAATAAATATATAATTCACATTGACGATGTTGTAGTGCATTTAATAATATAAAAACAGTACAAAAGTGTGGACTTCAGGCTACGGAAAATCCATTAATGTGCCCGAACTTTTTAAAATGCGGTTATATAAATTCAAAGAAGAGATCTCGCAGAGTTTTATTCTTTCTTAATAAACAAAACTTGACAATACTTTCACACGATAGTAGAAAATAATAATGAATGAACATGAACGAGGAGGCAAATGTAATTGATCATTAAGTGATGTTATAAACTAAACAAAAATAAAGTCATCGTAATTTTAGAAGTCGTTAATCGTAGTTAAAAAGTTAGAATAAGTTTTGGAATTTATTAAATAATTTGTGAATAATTAGTTATATGGCATTTTTATCGGGATGTACACGAATAATCGAGAAGAGAGTTTTAATATCTTCGGACGAACAAATATTTCATTGGCATTGGTCTATAAAATTACTTAATCAACATCATTTCGATCTCTCATTTCACATTGCAATTACAAACTGAAAAAATAAATTGATCGTATCTTCAATAAATGTCTATCCGACACAAATACTCGTAAATACATATTCCATGGGGAACAGGTAAGGATACGTTATTGAACATTGCGTATTACAAAGTACGTATTTTAAGAGCACAATCGACATAAACATTTATTCGAAAGTAGTCCATTAATTTTTTTCAGTCCACATAACTCCATTTCCTTCCCGGGATATGTATGCGTGACGCCTTGATATAAGAAAGAAAGAGACGGGTTGAAAACAAGAAATCAATGCAGAGTAAAATCTTGAATACATGAATGAAGAATGTGTGTATGGATACCCATATAGAAGGGGCGGAGGGCGGATGCATCCACAAGACGAGACTGTGACATCGACGTGGGGGTTTTTGGGAGATGAAGGTATCGAGAAAGAGTGCGGTAGATTGAGTGTGATAGAGGTATAGGGGTAGATAGATAGATAGATACATAGCGAGAGAGAGAGAGAGAGAGAGAGAGAGAGAGAGAGAGAGAGGGATCGCGCTTGTATGTATGAGATAGATAGATAAAGATAGAGATAAGGCATGTACAGCTTAAGGTCGTGATTGTCGGGTGTACCGAGGCCGTCGGATGATCCCTCAGCGACGTCGCTGAGGGCCCGCCGGTGCTTGCCGCCGTTGCCCGGTGTTGGCTGGGCCTCCCGATGGCACGAGATCAGCAAGATGGCCGCGGCGCGTGCCGCACCTGCGCGCGAGGCCGGCACCAGGGGCCCCCGGGTGGACGCGCCCAGGGCGTCGCTCTGCTTGCGCGCCAGCGCGCAGCTTAGGGTCCCGCCGCTGCTGCGCTGGGAGGAGCGCGAGGACGGACGTCCCCCATGGAGCGCCAAAGGAATACCTAAGCAATTACGAACCAAGTCACCTGATGGACTACGCGGGCCTTGCGGAGCTTTCGGACAGCTGGGGCTGGGGTCGGCCCCGGCTCGGCGTTGTCGGGAATGCGGTGGATCTGGCTTGGCGAGGTGGAGACCTCGACACGCGCGACCTCAATTTTCTCGCTTTTTGGGTTTGCGCTTGAACGAGGCGGTTACGTATGCCGCTCGACCGCTATTGTCCATGACACGGAGATTTAGGCTAATGCGTCTGGTGGACGGTTATGGTCGCTGGGTCATTTTATCGAGTGCGCAATTCCATTACGTTGGACTTGCGTCGTATTGCAATGACTGTTGCGCGTATGAAATGCGAGGGACTAATTTGTCGTGGGAATCACTTTTTCCGGGAGATCACCGTTTTAATAAGTGGCCAACTGATAATCTATTTAAATAATTAAAGTACGGCCGTATATTTTAATTTGAAATTTAATTTGAAATTCCGTGGTCAATGCATCAGGTAGGCGTAATTAATGTTTCCGAGTTCTCCGATTGATTGCTCAAACTGTTTATTTTGTTGCAAATGTTTTCTCGCGAACCGTTGAAGAACATTGCTCGACGATTTTCAATAATTTTTCTTTTACTGACTCCTATATTTGTGAAATTCAACGTACATATTTGACTGATATAATTAATTTGACGCATTGTAATTTATTTATATCGTATTGTAAATTCTTAAAGCTTATTCTCATGTTAATATTCTTACAACACTTTATCGCCTAAAAAAAGTTTTTCTTTTGTCCTTGTTTAGGGAAATAAATGTCGCTAAGCATAATTTCTTACTTGTAATTCTTCCACCCTAGTGACAATGCACTTTTCCAAGACTTTGCAATTTAAATTTTTTGATGCCTTTCAGGATTAATTTCCAAAATCTTAATCATTATTCCCATGTTTTGACACACACACACACACACGCACGCACGCGCGCGCGCGCGCGCACACACAGAGAGAGAGAGAGAGAGAGAGAGTCAAATTTCATTATATTAAGATGAGCAATTGAAACTGTTTATTTCCTAATATCAAGTACTCTAGCATCTAAATATTTATTGCTGAATAATTTAAAACAATAGTATTACTTTCAAAGGAATTAAGTACTTTTCTACCGAATCATATTATTTAACGAACGAACGCAACGAACGAACATTTCAAAATTCTCCTGTGTTAAAAATATCTTCAATTTGTTTATCACAATAATCAAGTGATTAAGTTGTATTTGAAAAATATTATGCCCACTGGTGATAAAAAGTAATTGAATGAAGAATGTTTCAATTTAATTTAAACGTGCAAATTCAATGGAAATTATGAATTGAAATTTTCCTTATTTTCTTGCGATTAAAACTTTTAACATTCATTTTTATTTAATTCAATTATTACGATAGAATTAGTTTCTCAATGCTAGATTTACTGAATATTATCTTAAAATTTCATTAAAGCTATAAGTAATTAGTGTTAATAATTATAAATAAAATGAATCGTCGTAATATTCTCATATACTATCGATTGTTAATTTTTTAATCACAAAGTTTACATAACGAAGGTTACTAAATATAAGTTGCTAATACAATGCCGAATGTTTATTTATAGGGAGAATACAATTTCCCCCAGCATTGAACTTTATATTTAATCATTTATATTTTATCATCTAATCAACTTATTTAATCGTCAGCTTGAACGAAATCTTAATTAAAAAGTTAAAATTGCCCGTACATGTGCCGCGACGTGCAAAAAATTTCTGTTAACGTTGACGAAAGAAGATCCGATAACGCGCATCAGAAAACAGTCGTACTTATGTGAATCGATACAAAAAAAAAAAAAAAAACCAGGCGAGCTCATAAATAATTCAGAATCGCTACAATCACGCAGTATTCAACCGCAATTGTGCAATTAAAAAAAATCCGTTCATCCTTTCTTCCTTCTTTTCATTCAAACTACCCCCGTAAATTTCACGAGCGAGCGATAAATCAATTGGCCTTTAAAAGCCAAAATTAAGATAATCTTAAGGATAGCAGTCGACAAAGTGACGACGAGCGATAAGTCGCGCGTTCCTTAAATCTCATTGGTGCCAGGATACATCGACCGAAATAACAAAAGCCTCCGCGGATAAACGCACTACTTCACGACCCAAATCATACACATTATCAACGGTATTATTACCTGTGTCGCTGGAGAAGAGCATGGGAGGGGGGGCCTGGCCGGCATTGGCGTAGTGTCTTGGCCTCGTGTATCGCGCCCTGCTGAAGAGCTTCAGGACGAAGCAGATCAAGCCCGTGAGCACAGCTATGCCCGAGGCGACGCCGAGCAGAGTCGGCAGGTCGGTTGCTATCAGCACCAAATCTAAAACCGAACTTGGCTATTAGAGTCGCCCTGGCACTGGCGTCCTTACGTGTTTATGCGATTAGTTTTAAGGACAATGGGAGGATAACACAATACTATAAAGTGGCATTATAAGCAATTTTCAGCCCTCGTTTAACGATACAACGATACTACAAGAGAGCGTTGAGCTATAATGTCACGTGGTACTCGACTATATATTATTTCGTGTATGTGTCAATTATTGTTGCCTCGATTTGATCGAATGTACAATTGATACTTCGTGGATTGCGAGCCTATGATATTTTGAAAATTTACACCAATCGCACTTCCAAGTGGACATCTTAAGAATTAAACATTCCCCTATCGTAAATGAACTTTACGATACTAAAAAGTCTCGCGGGAAATGCTGTTCGCACTTGTCATGTTTTTTGCATTCATAGATTACTACTACTACCTTACTTTCTTAATGTACCTATAAATTGAGTTTCGTACTTGCTTTTGTAATTTAACATTAGCATAATTATACGTATAATGATTAATTGAATTTCTTGTTGTTTTGTTTTATTTTCTTTTCTTTTTCTTTTTAAAGAATTTATATTATGCATCATTGGTGCACGATTGAGATTTACATACTGATGGACTTGTTTATAGTATTTATTGATTTTTTGGATAAATTATACAATTCTATTGTAAAATCTCATGGATACCTTAAATACATTATAAATTTGTTATTTTCTTAATAATGCTGGGGGGTGTTGATTTTTGTTTTTTTTGTTTTGTTTTTTTTTTTTTTAATCATCCAATTTCGTATAACGCCTTAACGCTTTGTACTTGGGAATTATTACCAAACAATCGCTAATTACATAAAAAGAATTTTTCATTAGAAGTTGCCTTTTAAAACATCTATTTGTCAATGAAATTTATGCTTTTTCATTTTTAGGTCCAGTGCTCACGCCTAGATGAATGCAGAGTAGTAAAGCACAAGAGCGAGAAGCCAGCGCGATATTCCGATCGACTTAATAAACGCGATTTTCATTTAATATTAAACAGCCAATATAACAACAATTAATATAAAATGTCTACTAATGCGGATATAAGGGACGAGGTCGAATAAAAGAAACGTCGTGCTCGCTGAAGATTGGTGGACGCGGGATTATCTCGTCAGTAGAATCGGTCATTTTTCATCAGCCGCGGCATAGAGCGAACAATAGACGAGTCGTGGCAGGTACCTCGACGGTAGCGTAAACGCGTAAACTTGTCAATGGCAGCATGCAATTGTACTCGACCGTACGCTGATGTATCAATTGTACGTACATTTTTTTATGCAAGAGTTGCTTTGGATGGAGGTCGATGCAACAATCGTTCATTGGCAATATCAGCTTGATTCGCTACACGAAAAGATTCCTCTCGCATTGTATACACGAGGCTTCGCCAACTCCATTATCTCACACACACAGGCGCGCGCACGTGTGGCATACGTATATTATATATATTCCGTTATTTAGAAATTTGTGCAAAACACACCAAGTGACAAATTTTGGTCCAAAAGGTTTTTTCCAAGTCTGTCTTTGTTTCTCGTATATTCTCCTATATATCAAATATATATATATATATATATATATATATATATATATTTGCATAAGCATATTAAACTATTTTTAAAAGCTCAAGATTTTAATTAACGCACGTAAATAAAAAAGTATCCACCCGGAGAGGAAATAAATTCTTATTTAATTATACTGTGAAAATTAAATGGCTGAAAATCGGTATTCCGAGCGAAATAGGAATATCATGAAAAGCTACTATTGTACGAATGTTTAAAAACGAAAAAGAAAAAAAAAATTCAAACGAACATGTAGGAGTATTAAAATTTGAATTTTAATTATCAAGCGATTATTAAAGTTTGAAAATTGACATTGTAAATTTAGTGGCAAATAGTCGTTGGCGATAATCGTAACATCCATAGACGTTTTTCTTTATCCTTTATTTTCAATGAACTTGCCAATTATTAACCGCGACAATTTATTAATTATAAAAATCCCCCTCTTGAATTTAAAGTTCGCAATAATAATGTCGTATGCCTGCAGTTGAAATGTATTCATAATATGGCACACAATCTTCACAAAGGCTTGTGAAATTTAATTGCGGTGTGCCCAACATACGGTTAAGCGAGGCTTTCAATAAGGCGCGTGGAAAAGCTCTCGCTTAATTACCAAAAGCGTGTATCGCTCGTTAATTCCTTTTGGTCTAATTGTCCGTTTCTTGCGCTCGAGGGGCGGGCCGGGGCGAGGAGACGTTCTCTGTGAAAGCTCTCCACATTTTTTAACGCACGCGTAGCGACCGCGAGTTCGTACCTGCGGCGCAAAAGAGCTTCTTATTTGGCCTGGACAGTGCCACACGATGGTAGCCGGCTTCGCACTCGCAGACGGCGTTGTGCTGCACTTGCGTACACGTCGAGTGCTGATCCGTGTAAACGCAGGTCGCTCGGTACAAGCACTGCTCGCCCAGCTTCTTCGCTGCAAATTATTAAAACAAGTTTTGAGCCGTATATGTTTCAAGGGCAGCACGGGGACGGGGAGATGGATGCAAACTGTATGTTGAAGAGGAGTGTGATGGAGGGAGGGGGGTGACGGCGTGGAGAAGAGGGGAGGAGTATAAGGGGTTAAAGGAAAGTTAAAGGATTGAAAGAATAGGCATAATTCTACGCTTAGCACGTACGTTTGGCACATCCTTTGGTGGGCCCAAGTTGAACAGGATATGGCTTTTCGCAGCCGCAGAACTTTGTCTCGGGATCGCAGAATACGTGTTGTAACGTAGGATTGCACGTGAGATCGCATGGGGAGCCCAAGTATTTTGACTTCTCTGAAAATATAGTGAAAGAGTCTTCGATCGATTTGTGATCTTGTTTTAAGATTTATTGCTCGATTGCCAATGTTTCACGTCCGACTTATTATAAATATAATGTCAAGTGGACAATCCGCCAATTCATTCGCAATATTCACTTGTGCTGAGTACAAATTATTTATAGTACCTAAACATTGTATGCCGAAATTTTTTAAATGCGTTCATTGGCCTTCCATGGTAAATCAGACGCGTTGAAAAATAATATTTTTAAGATTATTATTTATTTATTTATTTTTGAAACGAAATGTAGAATTATAGTTAATGTATTGCAAATAAAAATATAATATATTTATTTTATCGAAAAGATGTTTATTTACGTTGGGAATTAAAATTTCTTTTCCAAAATCACACAAGATTTATTTCTGAAAATAAAATCTCGAAAGATTAGTTCATAAAAAGTTGAGCCCTTTATCATAAATGTTAATGCTCTTTAGCCACGTGAAATTTTTATAATACTTAAACCTTGGCTAATCGTATAATATTATAATAAGCTAAATTTTTCAAGCGTTCTTTTATTTTATTCTTACGTATTGATTACAATATTATTTTTTCAAAATGCTTTCCAAACACTTGTACATCATCGAAGATTATATAATATATATATTTTTTTTTATTAAAATGCTGCAATATCTATCATTTATACTTTACATAATAATTTTGTGCATATAGCTTCAATATAAGAAATGGACAGATAGATTTTTAAATAATCGATTAAATTAGTTGCAAATTGATATGCTGTTCGGTTGGAAAATTAAACAAACCAATTATCTGTATATAAAACAGAATATTACAATTATTATAATTGGCAAAATTCTTTTAATGTTGGCAATTTTTTCTTTATATCGATAAAATAAAAGGAAAATAGTATGAAAAAGGCTAATTAGTTTTAATACGAATATGAGCTTTCATTCTTATTCCTTTACTCTTATTGGTATAATTAATAATTTAGAATTAAAGGAAAATGTGATATAATATCAAGTACGATTATTTATATATAACTTATTATTAATACATTTTAATTTATTTTAAAATTGTATCAGTTTCTTTATTTAGTTTAGTAATATATTTGTTAATTTTTTTTTTTACTGCATTTTTTTCACAATTTACGAGCTGATTGCTAGATGAAACGTTAAGTATCTTTTACAAATGTCGGTCGTTATTGTGTCAAACTAGTTAATCAATAACTTTCACAATTTTCAATTCGCAACTTTAATTATTTATTAAATCATGCGATTTTTTTACTATACATTATTATGCTTTTGTACGAGCATTAGAAGTTATAAATTAATACATAGAATGTCCGAATATATATATATATATATATATATATATTAAATATCATACTAATTAATAGTGTTTAATACGTCGATAGATTATATATATTTTTTATTAAATATGAACATATAAATATATAAACAAAATGTATGAATCGTGTAAGGTATAATGACATAATTAATAAGCTTGTTTTGGCAAATTGAAGTAATTTATTTCATAATGAAATATACTAGATTGTTACGTATCCTCTTGTGTATCAATGTAATGTGTAAAATTTTCAACTAGTTTTATTTAATTTCAAGTAGAAAAAATAAAAACAAATTGCGCTTGATTAATTTGGCTATTTTACGCCGTTAGTACGTAATAACAATAAACTATTTGTTTTATTAAATAATGGTGAAGATTTGAAACGATATACACAGGAAACTTTATACAAACTGTATGCATGCATTTAGAAAAGCTTTTAGCTTGATTATTTGAAATTCTGAAAGCGAAGAAGCATTTCTGCTGAAAAAATAAGTTTTAAGATAGGACATTTAAAAAATATAATATTCAATATGTCACCTGTAGAAGGTGAGAGACCTGTGAAAGCTCTTATTAAATTACGACAAAATGATGTTCATCTTAGCGACGAGTTCCTCTCCCTCTCCTCTCCTCAATCATTTATGTTTGCCTTTTCAAATAAATTATTTTCTGATGCACAAATAATTGATTGCATATATCATTACATAATGCATGTATTGAATCGATAATTCATTGTATGAATTTATGAAAAATGTTGCGGTGACAGGATCGCGAGGATGAACCGAAATTCCATCAATTATAGACAATTGATAATATTTCAATTACATGTCAGCTGTCAACATATTCTACCAGCTTTGTTACATCCATTTTCCCTCATGACAATTATAAATACCAGTGATAATGATTTGATAAATAACATTATTATCGCCTTATATAAAAAAAGCAGCTTACACGGACTTTTTATAATCGACATGCTTATCAGTTGGTTCGAAAATCCCCTTTCGTATGACGTTAAATGCAAAATAATACTGCCATTATACGAAAGTTCCCTTCCATTACATAACACTCTAACCAAGTACATCATTGACATCATTCACATGAAAGTTGCTAAAATTGACACGTGCAATACACGATGCAATGCCCTCGTTTGAAAACTTAAAACGTTCGAGGAATGATAAAAGGCCTCGTAGAGGAAACGCTACTACGTGCCCTACATCCACCATTGTCCATATTTTCCATACCATGGAGAATCGCTCTTTCAAATGGAGAAAGCTATGTTTTTATCGACGACGACAAGCTAATTAGCATTATCACTCTGAGAGATACACGGTGAGCCAAGTGCTTCCTCTTGAAAACGAAAACCCTCGTACCCTCGTGTAATATCGATTCGTAAGGTCGCACCCTGTGTTTGCGAGAGCTTCCGGCTTAAGGAGAGGACAGCAGTAGTTCAACGTTACTCGCTAGTGGAAAGTGCCGTTATCCCCCTCATTCATCTAGTCTCAGCTACGCGAGCTCCTCGTTCATTCACCCTTCTCCTGCTCGTCTTCTGTCTTGGTAAATACTCTTGGAAAGATCCGAGACTCCCCTGTCGGGGATGTGTCTTAAGGAAGACGAAACTTTACGAATGCGCTAACGCGTTTGGTTCACGGTCTCGCGGCATCCCCCATCCAATCACTCACGCACGCATTCACGCACGCACGTACGCACGCACGCACCTCACACGAGTACATTCATTAAAATCAATACTCCGGGGCTGCTGCTCGCCAGAGGAGTCTCACGCCTTCTCTAACCAATGGCCATCGTCAACAACCCAACAACACACGTGCTCGTATGCCAGTGCGCGCTTCTACATTCGTCGACCCGTTGCACTTTCCACGTGAACACTTCGGCTCCATATGAGCGTACGGGGCCATGGCGGATGATGAAGGGAGGGAGGATGGGAATAATGGGAGGAGCGGAGACGAACGGCGGGTGTAAAAATGCGAGTCTCGTCGATGACGCGATTTGACGTATTGCCGTGCTTACGGGACTGCGCCGATATTTTCTAATACAACGGAGAAAAGTGCACGTGCACGCAATGCATCGCTTTCAAACTACTCGCCGATTACGAATTATGGACTTTCACATGGATTAAATTCACCTTATTCAATTGTCGTCACCATGAATGTCTTAATATTACGGGGACTTTGCGGACTCCATTGGCTTCAATGCAGTTGATGGGCCGATGGGGTGAGTTACGTTAAATGGATAGTTGAGAGAAAGGAATTATCAACTCGACGAGCGTATGAGCGAATCGATATGGAATTGCATTCGAGCTAGAAAAAGGGGGCTCATCCGAGAGAGAACGGAACGCGAGAAAGCGGGATGGAGATGGCCGGATAAATAGATAGATGGTGAGGCAATGAGCGCCAGCGGAGGGAGGTGGGGCAGAGAGCGGCAAACAGTCGTACACGAAAACTGGGAATAAGAATAAAAGTCTTTTTTTAAAGTGCTTCTTGACTGTTGACGTACAGCCAGGTCATTGCCTTACGATGCCATCCGACAATGATGTAGCGAAACAAGCCGGAGACACAGCGCGTCTAACTATGCTGGATGTAATAATGAATTATTATGTAAAAATAAGCTAAGATTCTATGACCAAGTTCCCTTTATCGATTGGCCCGCTGCCTCTCTCTCTCTCTCTCTCTCTCTCTCTCTCTCTCTCTCTCTCTCTCTCTCTGTCTCTCTCGGTTACGCTAAGATGATAAATATGACGCCACGGTGACATAAACGAGCGTTGCGCGCGGGAAGAAAGTCATTCCCTCTCATTACCCTCCCCCTCGCCCGGCCTAATTCCGCCCAAAGGAGCGTTTGACCGCTGCAGAAATCCACTGGCAATTATTAATGAAAATTGAGCTTGGAGGTCGCTCGAAAGGACGTTTGCCCGGGAAGTGCGAAAGATCGCGAGGAAGGAAGTAGCCTCCGTATCGCGAGTGCTACGTAGCTTTCGCGGCCTTCGACGTTTCGACCACACTACGACCCTGAAGTCGCGCGGAGCCGTGGACGCGGATAACTGGATCGAACGAGGAGTTCGCGTGCGAATCCGAGACCCGGAGAGGAGGGCCAACAATGCTCGCGACGTCGCACGGGCATGAACGAGCCGGCTTACGGCTTACGGGCCCGGAGGCAGGAGCACAAGACCGCGGGATAGGATAATCGTACCTGCGGTGACGTTGAGCTCGGCGTAATCGTCCGCGAGGTCCTCGTCGGCCAGCTCGTCGTAAGCGTCGAGCTCGAGGCCCGTGCGCTGGGAGGCAGGCCGCTCATCGTCCCCGGAAAGCGCGCGACTAGGCCGATCGCTGGGACCTACCGCCCGGAGAGGCCCGACAATCAAACAGCCGGACAGGATCAGCCAGCAGAGGCGGTTCAGTCCCAGGGCGAAGGGAAGTGCGCTCATCGCCCCCACGGCGCGAGTCAACCCCCGAAACCGGCCACCGCCGGAGCATCGACATTTTCCGCCACCGAGGTGGGAATACTCCCCCTTCCGACGCCAACGCCGACGAGCGAAGCCATTCCCCCACCACATAGCCGTCGCTCACCACCGCCGACGCGCACGTCTGCGCGGTGAACTCTGCGCCCCCGCGTTCGTTCCTTCGAGGGTCGGGGAGCTTGGGAGGAGACGACTCTTGACTCCTCCGAGGCTTCGACACCTGTTCGATCGGCCTCGATCGGATTTTACGTCCATCCGGGAATGGCCTCAGGAGGCGACGGCACCTGTTTTTCTCAACTCAGCGGGGACTCGACCCTCGTTGCTTTGGCTCGATGGACCGGGACTGATAGCCGAGCTTATCGTCAATTTTCGCGGCAAGACGCAAACACCCGCGAACTGCGGTCGTGGTAGGCTTGAGCGATTGACGCTGATTAGCGCCGGTTAGCGCTGATTGATCGCCTGATCATTGTCTTATCGTTCCTTCTCCTCAACTTTTCACTCCTTACGGGCCTCCCGTAATTTGCTACGAGTCTACCTTGGGACGGTCTTTCCGACTCGATGCACTCGAATCATTTATTTACCATCTTATTGTAACGACAGAGCATATTTATGAAAATGTCGCTATCGTTTCATGTGGTAAAAGGTAGTACGTGTAATTTGTAAAATTCGCGTAAAACCATATGAATTCATTAGTATTTTCGTTTCTTCGGGAAAGAGACGGTTTTTCATTGAATATTAATTGAAAAATTAGCGAATTGCTCGGTGAATAGGTGCCTAGATCATCAATGACATAAATAAATTGTAAGCCATAAGCCATAATGAATTAATTTGTTATTCTTTTCATGTTAGAAAGTGAGACTTTTGAAAGTCTTGGAGCATTCAAGTCATTCCATACCTGTTATTTTCAGCTCAAAGGACAAATTATCCAACATTTTATTGTAAGTTATATTCCCAAGATTTACTATTATTACCATAAATATTCACATATTTCTTGCTTATTTTCGCTTTAATATTAAGAATTTCTTTATCGCATGGTATTACTTTCCTTTTTAAAAATTACTTCGTAAATTCAACACTACACTTTACTCTGTATGAAATACACTGATGTATACCGGGTTGCAGTAAATTTGTAATACTCATTTTAAGATGTTCTATCATAATATCGTTGAGATAAAAGTACAGGCGCACATTTTTGAAAATTTCTTTGATTTAATAAATGTTTTCAGACATACTAACTATGAAAATCATAATACTATAATATTATGATATTACTATAATATTATAATATTGGGAATTAATATTCATTGAAATTTTTGGTATTTCTCCTCCAACACTTTAGGTATTCTTCCGAACGTTTTAACGTATTTGTTCTAAAATGAACGTTTTTTAATTTATTGATTACTTATACAATACTGTTTAAATCTTGTTCATTTAAGAATTTTTTTGGAATGCAAAATATTCGGTTTTATTAAATACTTGACGAAATATAGAACAAATAGGAATAAAATTTTTTAATTCATATATGTCGAATGTTATTATTAATTCATATTTTATTACTTGGTGTATTGAAAAGTATTAAAAATTGTATTTATAACAGTAATAATAAGAAATAAATAAATATATATATATATATATATTACATATTGAATAAAAATATTTGAATTTTTAAATAAGAGCAGTGTGGTTTACAAGCATAGTGTTGTTTGAGTGTATAATTAATAGAAAGTTTAGATAATGAATAACAATCAATGAATTTAAAAGTATAACATAAAATGTATAATTGAAATAAAAAATTATTATTATTTGTCTGAATTGTATTCTAAAGGATTTATGATGAAAGAGTAGATCGAATTACTTTTAAGAAACTTTTTATTTGCATCAATCAAAAAGGCATATAAATTTTATATCAAAAATATAAATAGCAATAATTTTTATCCATAATAAAAATAAATATTTCCATACATCATCGATAAAAATGAACAATCTTATCTCTAGATGAATATCAAATTCGTATATTAACAAATATTTTACATAGATAGTGTTTTACATTATGATAGTGTTTCGGCGAATAAGTTAAAAAAAAAAAAACATAATGCAGAAATAAATAAAATTATTACTTAATTTTAACAATTATTCTATGATTTCATAAAAAAATAAAATTATTTAAAAAAAACATGTTTAAAAAAATCAATATTTTCACGCACTTTTTCACGCAATATTGCGCACGCACGCGCGCACCCACACACACACCCACACACACACCCACACACACACAAGCACGCAAACACATATTTATATTAAAAGAGTAAGTAAATATTAATATTAAATTATATATTTATAATATATATATTATATTATATATTATATACGTTAAAATTTATATTGAACAATAATTATTGTCCTGATAATATTGAATAGCGTGAAACAATTCTATATGAAAGTAGCATTATCTTAAAGCTGTAAATCTTAAAGCTTATAAATTAATAATAAAATTTTAATTATTTTATTAAAGAAACGATAATTCTTCATTATTGTCCATGTCTTCTTGAAGGGATTCCTTTATATCTAAAATAAAAAGAAAAAATTCGTTTCAATTTCAACCGAATAATCGCACAGTTTTATTTATTTTACGATTAATCATCATTAATTCAATTATCTTACCAGTGGATAAGCTTTTACTTTTTTTCATAAAAAATACTACTGAAATTGCCATTACCAAAACAAACAATATTATTATACAGGAAATTACAACTAAAGTAACATTCACTTCACTCTTAATGGTTTGAAATTTAAAATGGCTCCGAATTCTGCACTGTTCGTCTAAAATTTTCATGAACGGATTTAGTCAGTTGAAGTTGAATTTATATAGTAACTTACCCATTTCAATTAAGCAAAGAAATTTATCAGAATCGTCGTTTAGCTGATTAGCACACTTTGTTAAATTATCTATTTTATTTAAGCAGACGTTATTACAAATGGGCCATAATGCTTCAGTGATGGTGATATTTGCTTCCTCGATAAATCTAATAATTTTTATATAAAAATATGTTAATTTTCATGACAATACAGATACAATTCTCTTGGAATTTTGACGAATTATGGTTTTGCTCACTCGTTCAGTTGCGCATAAACTGGATCACTTTTTACAATATCAATTAAACATAATAGCGGCTCGTCACAATATACTCCCGACCATCCCTCTAAACAATCGCAAATGCCCTTTTCTCGTAAACAAGCACCGTGTAAACATTCCTTACTACATAGAGGAATGCAAATAGTATTTCCTTGAGTATCGTTACTAAGAATATAAGATTCGTCACAAATACATAATTCCGGCTCGATGCACCGTCCATTAATGCAATCACCCTCGCAATGCGGTCGACACGTTGTTGAATAATTTGTGGAAAATAAGCTGTAACCTTCCTAGAAACAATCGCACATTTAACAACATAGAAACATCATTGAATCACTTAGTTGTCACTTACTAAGCAACTCTGGCAATGAGACTCTACGTCACTACAATGTCCATTATCGCATTCGCAATTAATAACGCACTTTGAATTATTGTCTGTAATATTTTTTTTTGCGTATCCATCATCGCATAAGCATTCATTCGGGGCCACACAATGGCCGTGCGTGCACTCGTCCTTGCAAATTGGCTCGCATTCAAATTTACTGCCTTTCTTTAAGCGATAGTTATCCACACACGTACACGTGTCTGGAGATGTACAATTCTATAATTCAAGTCAGTAATATGTTTAGATTTTATATTAAGTGGCGAGAGAGAGAGAGAGAGAGAGAGAGAGAGAGAGAGAGAGAGAGAGAGAGAGATATCCTGAATACCAACCCCCATTATGCATGCTTCAGTACATGTTGGCTCGCATAAGTTTTTGTCGATTTTGAACTCGTAACCGGGATCGCAAGTACAGTTTTCTGGATCAGAACATCGTCCATGCACGCAGGGGGCACTACAGTAGGGTTCACACGTATTACTATTCTCATCTCCAAGGGTGACATAGCCATCGTTACAGGAACAAATTTCTGGCATAATGCACTCCTATAATATTAAAATTTTCCATACATAAAATAGAAGTGATGGCGTTTATGAGTAGATTATGAGTAGGAATTACTGACTGCATTAATACAGTTCTTAGTGCAAACAGGTTCACAAATATGAGAACTATTGGCTTTTAGTTTATATCCCGAGAGGCAAGTACAGACATTTGGATTGGTACATTCACCATTTACGCAATAATACGTACATGTTGGCTCGCAATTAAAGTCGTCATTATTTAACTTTTCATAACCTTCGTGACATTTACAAATATTTGGCTCTACGCAATCGGCATTAATACACTCGATATCGCAAACAGCTTTGCATTCGGCCCCCTCGTCCAAGTCCGATCGTTCAATGGGAAATCTGGTATAACCGTTATTGCATTGGCAGACATGTGGCTCAGCACAATGCTCAACATTAGAACAATTGTTACAAAATGGCACGCACGTTGTCTCGGAATTCCAATCGTGCGAAAAGCCTTCGTTACATAGGCAGCTATTTGGCGATGCACAATATCCGTTGAGACACTCATATTCGCACACGGGCATGCATTGCTTTAAGACATTATCCATTACATAACCGTATGAGCATTGGCATGTTTCTGGTTTTGAGCAAACTTCGCGCGGACCACAATTTGCACAGATCGGCAAGCACTGATCTTCCATCTCAGCATCTTCCTCGTATCCGCTGCAGCAGACTGCTCTTTCGTGATAATTCGTACGATTCTGAAAAATAATATATAATTTCGTTTCCAAAATTAAAAATGCTACCTCGGTACTTTAAGAACACTAATCGATGATATTTCTACCTCGTATTTATAATTTAAACGAGTCTTCCATTTCTTTGTACCATACCACGTTCTTGTCTCATAGACTTCCGTATAAGGAAGGTATACCTGTGTTACCGTACTAATGGGAACAAATAAGTAGATAAGATAATATACAACTATAGTTGTAAAGGAAGTAAGTGTAAATAGATATTTATGCATACCTATAAGTCTCGGTGCAATTTCGTGAAACTGCATATTCATAATGATCTGATTTGCCTTCTAGTTTAGTCAATAGGATTAAAAATGTTGCAATACTTACGCAAAACTTCATATTTATACTTTAACTGTACAATGGATGAAACTCGAGAGAAAACTAAATGACAAGATCAAGGAAATTCTTTTAACTCCAGTGAATAGCTCTTTATCAACTCAAGCGTTTATCACTTATCAGCAGGATGTCGAATATCATTGGTTCTAAACATCATAGTCAATTATATTTAAAACTATTGTAATTCAATACATCACGTACCTTATTATTAGTTAACAATTTACTTTTCACTATTTCTGATATTATGATAATTGAACTCTAATTATTTAAATTTCTTGTTTAAATTTTAGTCAAATTGTACAATGACAATCGATGATATTTCACGTATATGTGCGCGTGAGTGCGCGCGAGTGCGCGCGCGTGTGTATGTATTTCCAATATCAAGGCATCGAACAATAGTAAGTAATTTAGTTTTTATACAAAATTTATTTATAGAGAAATGAGACAAGTATTATAATATAAAATACATTTCCATATTATATATTCAATTTATAAAATTTTTTGTATTTATAGATTATTTTTATATTCGTTTGTGGCCTGCGATAAAGTTTAGGTCCTTATTTGGTTATTATTATATCTTAATTAATTATTTATATTTCACAAAGTATGACCATATGATATCTAAAAATACATTCGTTATACGGACCTACTTTTTATAACAGTTTGTACGTTTAGATTTGTATATCTTATAATGATAAATTTGTAATGTGTGTGTATATATATATATATATGCATATAATAATAAATATTCTTTGTAATTTAGTAACTTTTCATGGCAGCATTCCTCTAAAATAATAGATTTTTTTATTTCACGACTTTAATTATTTTATGGTTTACCTCAAAATCTATCTTATTTATTAATATTATGAATTTGATTGACTTATTATTGGTCGATAATTATGTACTCTTTTCATTTCTTTTTCTTTTTTCACTTCTTTTTCCCTCCTTTTTAATAAATAGAAATAAGGGCTGAAATTTCTTTATTCGAAGGAATTTAGTCAGGTCACGTGGAGCTTATAACGAAACGTATCAATATCAATTAAGCACATAAAGTTTGTTAGACTCTTGGTTCAGCTGACTTATACGTCATGTTCATTTTGAAGATGAAAAATCTAAAAGTTGTCGAGTAACATAGAATTCAGAAATACACGAATTTTTACGATCGATCGATATAATACTTTTTAAGTATTAAATACTCGATTATATCGTGGAAAATCATTTGCCAATGATTCACGATTTACTAAATATCCATGCATTATTAATTAATAAAAAACTCAGTCGGCATTATTATCTTTATTATCATTATCAAATATGAAAAATTGTAATTCACTTGTTTGATGTTGGAATTGCGATTTAAATACACACTGTCTGTGCTTATTAATTATATTTTATTTACAATATTTTTCATACAAATACCATCAATTTAGCATAATAAATTACATAAAATAACAGAAGATCGATTAAATTCTAATCCCTTGCGGCCCATCTCATTTTTTATAAGACATTAATCAGTCGCAACGCATCTTTGAGATTCTGCTTGACCGTTTTCCTTAACAAAACCTGCATTACAGATGCACAAATTTGGCGCGGTGCAAACACCATTTAAACAACCACCGGTACATACGGGTACGCACACATTACCATTTGGATTTCTGGGGTCCGTTCTGTATCCAAATTTACATCTACATTGGTTTATGCCTACGCAGGCCCCATTTATACACGGAATTTTACAGGCTGGATGATGCTTGATCGAAGCTGATATATCAATTGGATCGACATAGTGTTGCCTGTCTTGGGGAATAATAGTTTTATCATACCATTGCAATTCCGGATTCTCACGATTATTATTACACGGTTGGTATATATTATCACTTATGCTCGGATGTTTGATCGCTGCAGTAGCTTCGGCAATATTTTGTCGGGCCGTTTCAACACTTATGCCCTCTCTCTCCGATGGCTTAGGAAACAGCAAGTAAGTTGGACGACTCGACGGTCGTGCATTATCTCTGGGAACACTATGGGGAGTGATAATGATATGTGCTTCTGGTATCATGCTTACTTCTTCGATAATAACATTCGTTTGTGGTCTGTGCGTTTCACTGCTATCAGAATTCCAGTGGCGATCTCGCTCTGCACTAATATTTCGCTCGCGCGAAGAATGAGAATTCACAGTGAGGATACGCTCGTGCTCTTGTGCATAGCTGTTCTCATAAGATCTATAAGAGCCTCTGGTTTCATGAACATTTGATAATTGATTTGATGCTTGATTACGGTAAGGCGAATAAGTGTATCTAATGGAAGTATCGGGCCTTTGGGCGTTGTGCTCTTGATTAGGTCTCTCTTGCACTTGGTGTGTCGTTTCCGCAGGCACGCGCCTCTGTGAAGTATAAATTCCTTGGGATTCGTGTTCCTGATTGCGCGAATTGTACAATTGGCCCGATCTATCCGAGTCATAAATTGTTCGCACGGGAATATGTTGTTGCGTATTGGTTCTTTGTGACTCGTACGTCCGATCAATACTGGACATCTCATGTCGATCAACAGTTTCGGGTCTTTCCGTCACTCTCGAATCATTCAAACCAATTACTCGATCTGGAACGGTGTATGACTCCGTGGGTCTGTATCCTTCGCGTTGACCATATTGTCCGTGTACGTTTTGTCGATTGTTGCTCTTATTATAGGATGTGAAGTTTTGGTGTAACACTCTGTTCACGTACTCCACGCACTCCTTCGACTGATGATTCATTATGTATCCCGAATTACAACGGCATTGTTCGGGTGCCACACATTCGCCATTGGTGCATCCATTTTCACATTGAGGCACGCACGAATCATTGCTGTCGCGAGTGTAACCTTCGTTGCAAGTGCATACACCTGGAGAATGGCATATTCCGTTTTTGCACGTGTCAGGACAGTAAGCCACACAGTTTTCTCGACTATCCGATGGATGAATGAATCTGAATTTCCAAAAAAAAAAAAAAAAAAAAAAAGAGAAGGAGAAGAATTTTTATAGAAATTATATTGCAATCGACAATTACATGTGTACAAATTTTCGTTGAATTATTGGATAATTTCAAGATAATAATATAATGGTAAATTAAACAAGCATGCAATGTACAATGCATACGTACATTACAGTTATATAGAATTTAACAAAAATATTCTCTCTCATCTTATTAACTTTTAAAATTTACAGTTTTTAAAATGTCTCTTTAATCATATACGTTATTACCATTAACATTATTCATAAAAGACTCTCAATGCTATTCATAGAATAATAATTTGCATAATAAGTTTTTACTTAAAGTTGCAATAAACATTTATGTATTCGTTGAATTTATGATTTTATATTTTATCATTGATCACGTGTCATAACAATATAATACTAAAATATTTTTATAATATAACTGAAAGGTTTCAATTTTTTTTCTTCAAAATAATATACATATATGTCGGTCGATAAGTATTGGTAATTTTATTAAACTAATGTTAATGAAAATGAGAAGAATATTAATAGAAATTATCATTATTTTGTTTATTTTTCATAATTCGAAGAGAATATAAATACTATTGTTGATCGAAAACAGAATTTTTTCTCTCCCGTATAATAATATAAAATCTATCTTTTAAATTTCAAATTATTTTAACAAATTTCAATAATTTTAAGCGGAATTAGTTTATGCTTGTTAAAGGAAAAAAAAAACGATTGCATTTTTCTTGGTAATTTCGCAGATAAAAAATTATGCTTTACACAAAAATATATTTTATCTAGCTTAGATGCAAAAATTGATTTTCACTGTTTATTAAATGCACGAAGTATATTACGATTTAAGCATTGAAAGCATTGAAATTTAAAATAGAAATGAGATCTCGTAATAATTATTGACAAATAAAATTTCTATTTACTTGAAAATCTGAAAATTTTATATAATCTACTTCATATAGTTTTGAGGTTTGTGCTTATATATCTCTTTATGAAGCGCAAACTTGTAATGAATAAAATAAAATGCTATATAAAAGCTGTGAAGCGCGATAGATATATGTGTTTTCTTTTATATGTATTGAAAAAATGTTACAAATTCCTCCGCCGATTACAAAACATTAATAAAGAAATCAGTAATGAAATGCTGTTTTTCATGCGATGATTTAACTCAAATCATGACTAAATACTATTAATACTTATGAAAAAGATGTATGAAAAACAAAAACCAAAAAAAAAAAAAAAAAAAAAAGAAATTAAAATAAAGTTGGTTACGTGTAGGTGAGGAGTACCAAGTCGTTGCGATTAATTTTGTTTTTTTGTTCTGTTTAATAATAACAGTATCTGTCTCTATTATGTGCTAATCTTTAATCGAGTCTTTAATGAAATCTACATTAAGGCTTTGATATCTTGTAATTATGTTAAAGATGTTGTAAAATATTAACGAATATGTATTAGAAAAAAAAAGAAAAAAAAAGAAAAAAAAAGAAAAAAAAGAAGAAAAAAAAGGAAAAAAAAACCACGTAATTCCCACATATGAATATTACATTATTTTTATTTAATTTTTCTCTCCAAGATTAGTTAATCATCGAGCATTGCTGTAATATTCTGAAATAAAGAAAGAAATTTGGCCATGTAGGTCTCCCATCGACCATTAAGTATCCTTCTTCTTCGTTTCCAAAATTCATCGAAATGTAAAAGGCCAAGTGCACGTAGACCGTAACCGTAACCGTAACCGACCAATACCGCAATATTCGCAGGATCATCACATTGACGGCGCGATAAATCGTATCGATTGTCGAACGGGATTGTCGCGCATCTCGAGAAAGGCCACGTACCCGTGGTCGCAGGCGCAGATTCCGGGCCTCTGGCAGTATCCGTGGGGGCAGCCACCCTCGCAGAGAGGCTCGCACATCTTGGTCTCGTTGAGATAGTAGCCCGGGTGGCAGCGACAGAGCCTGGGGGCGAGACAGTCACCGTTGAGGCAGTCGTGGAGGCAGACTGGCCGACAGAGACCGTTCACATCCTGGTAGCCGAATTCGCAACTGCAGACCTCGGGTGCGAAACAGTAGGCGTTCTCCTCGCAGCCGTTCCTGCAGATGGGCTTGCACTCGCCGGCTTCGAGGCGCCAGCCGTCCTCGCAGGTGCAGATGTTGGGGCCGGTGCAGTTGCCGGCGGCGCAACCCCCGTCGCAGTGGACCTCGCACTCGAGGGTCTCGTTGTTCTTCTTGAAGCCGTCGCAGCAGTCGATGATGGTCAGCCAGCCGCTGTTGCTCTGCGACAACAAAGTTCCGTGAGGATGCGTTGTTCGATGTACTTACATTGGGAGTTGGGCTCGGGCCGATGTCCTTGCTTAGCCCAGCGACGGCTTATATTTATGGACTAATGATTGGACAAAGGGGATAAATACCGTTTTTACGCTGGCTATTTCGGAGCCTGGCAATATGTTGACGAGGCCCTTGGCGATCGCCGCTTTTAATGCATCGTCGTACCTGAAAATGTAGATGGCGTTTCAAGTGTCACGAATAATTGGCGATGAGGCATCGATGTTGGGCGCGTTACGGATGATTCAGTCGTAGCGATTTGAGAGCGACGTCGAGGTGCGAAGGTTTTTGTAAAATTTGATGGCCGATTGAAAACGTTGCTGGGGACTAGTCGAAAGATGTTGAAAAAATAAAGTTGAGTGGGTTGAGCGTGGGGTGTGAGCTCGCGATCAATCGGCTGAATAAAACACGGTGTTAAGCGTTACGTCGAAGGGGGTCTTGATTTTCGTCACGCGATCAAAATAACTAGCGTATTTTTTTGGTAAAATAAAGAGGCGAGAACAATTGAAAAATATCGATATAAATATATAGATGAAAATGGTGATATTACTTATTAATGTTGTAAGGTGTCGATTGGCGGCCTACATTGCAGTGCATGAATATATTTCATGTTTCTGTACTTACGGGACCCTCCTGTAACACGTGCCGTTTTCCCGACCAGGGAAACTCGGATAAATCGAATAAGCCGCCGAATTCAGTATAAATCCCGCTAAAATTAGCCAGCGAAATAGCGAAAGTAATTTATTCTCCGTCATCTTGACTCGCCTAATGTTTTCCAAAGACTAGAGATTCTAGTAGGAATTTTGAATCGCGTCGAAAAGGCGATAGCTAGTAGCGAGGTTAAAAAGGTCGATACAATTGCAATTCTATAAATTATACTGAAGCGAGATAGTAAATAAACTTGATTATTAAATATTGTTATTGCTTGCATCTTTAATATATTATGTTGTCTTAGCAATCGATAAGCTGTGATTTGTGATAATTTTAGATATATTGGCACGAATTTATTTACTTATTTAATATCCGTATAAACGTAAATATCTATGAGTAATAATCTCAATAATCACAATCTCAGTTACAACAACGACGACAACAACAATAATAATAAAAACAAAAACAACAACAAAAACAATAGTAATAATAATAATTAGAATAATAATGAAAATACTTGTTTGTCTGGTATAAAATTTTTTATTTATGTACTTATAAATATTAACAAGGATATTTTTACACGATATCATTAAATATCAATAGTGTTGTTATAGTTTCTTATAAATTTAACAATTAAATGCATCATAATCACAATATATGTTTCATAGCGATTAAAGAAATTGGTTTACCTTAGCAAGTGTTATAAATAATTGTTACAAATTAAATGGTAACCACAACTTATTCTACGCTAGTCTGATATATATATATATATATATATATATATATATATGTTAAAAAAAAAAAAGAAAAAAAAAGAAGAATAATACGTATAATAAAAGTAAATCGTTGATTGAGTAAATGGCATCGTTCAAATACGATACACTACTAAGCTTTCGAAATTTTCCTTTTGAAAAAGTCGCTATTACGACCTACATTGTAACGTACCTTCACCTACTTTACTCTTTACAAATGAAAGAAAAAGAAAAAATGGATGTTCATTATATGCATATAAAATGTATAAAGTATTATTGTAAAGTAGATAGTACCGCGTGTTGCATTACATTTCTATCGAATTCTAACTTATGTTTCTAATGGATTCCCAATGGAATCCAAAGTAATTTTTCACTATGCGTGCATGTATATATTTATTTATTTATTTATACAGGCGCGCATGGGCGTGTATGCGCGAGCGTGCTTCTGTGTCTTTACACGCGAGTATGTAATGTAATGCTTTGGCAAGAGGCAATTTTCTCCTCAAAGATCATACCTCGAGCCACTATACCCTACTTTAATAAATAATGGATCTCGAATTCTCCAAGTTAGCTAGGAGGCGCGACAGCTACGAGCCTCCACATAAAGAATAATTCACCGAAAAGTTTCTCACGATCGCGCGTACGTAAACACGCGCGTTCGATCGTCCTCACACATACATAATCGTCACCAATATGTCCACCCACCGAATGGAGACACACGGAGGCGCCCACACAGACGCGCATTAGCCAAGCCAAATGGAAAACACGCGCATGCATGCAGCGCGTGTGCATCGGGGGAGTAGACGATTGACGTATGATGCAATCCTGCAGGCGAGCGGCACGAGTGAGATACGAGATAGATGGAGGCTTTTTCTGGTGCGCCGCCTTAACTTCGCTGCATCAACTCGGCTCTATTTGAGGCTGTTTGGAGTGGCTCGAAAGCGACTCGATAGCGACTCGAAAACGACTCGAAAACGACTCGAAAGCGACTCGAGAGCGGCTCTTTCGCTGACCTGGAACGAGCCGAAAAAAGGAGCCCCCTTCGGCGACTCCCATACCCTCCTTCCACGCCCGAGTCTCCCGAAAACTTCGTTTCCTCGTTTCCTCGTCCGTCACTCACTTGTACAATGATTACGAGTCGCTCGTTATTATCGGAGGAAGAATGCGCGATAAGCGATGGTAGTCTCTTCGCTTCGACCATTACGTATCTTTCTCAAAGTGAAAAGGTGGCGAGAAGGGGATCTCGTCGTAAACGTGCTCCACGTCCATCTCGCCTGCTGCTGCGCTCCTGTGGGAACAGGAGGCCGGTCTGTCATACTGGCTTTCCAATAAATCTGCAGAAATTAAAAAGTCATGGGTTATGTATGGGATGGGATCCGTCCCGTAGTAGCTAGGGAATACAGACGTAAAGCGAGTGCCGCGACTCATTTGCAATAAGCTTAAGGCTGCAATTGATATTTGAATATTTTTTTATTTTTTATTTTTTAGCGTCGCGTTTGAAAATTTTGACTCCTGGCTGGATTATATTACGCGGCGAGCTCGATTAAGGTGAGGAAAAATCGACTTGTTACGCTGATGGCGTTGAGCGATTATCAGCGACGATTGCCGAATCGAGGGACAAAGTTTAATTGTTTAACGAATTTATGGATGACAGTCGTTTAAGGCGAGAACTAGAGAAATGGATGCCGTGAGGAATGGATATTGGAGATAAGGGAGAAACGAAGTAAAGTAATTAATTATATCCCTGGCCCGCATATATATTTTATAACGCCAAGTTTTCATCGGTTAAACAGTGCACGTCGCAGTATGGAGCGCATTGAAGCCAGTCGGCTTAACTTAATAACTATTGCGCAAACAGTTATTGGGTTAAGAGAGTTGAAATTATTTTCACTCGCAGCTGCTTGGCGTTTAAGTATTTTCTCGTTGATCTTTTGCTCATCGGCCGTGCGTAAGGGGCATTTTTCAACGACTTTTCAACTATCGTTCCATACGATCGACACCGGCTTTTTCGGACCTCTATATTTATGATCGAGAGATAGTCATTGGGCATTATTAGAGTAATTCGATATTAAAATGTAACTTACCACGAAGATTGCTGGATAGTCGAACACCGATTGTCACAGTACTGTTAGCATACTCGGCCGGGCTTTCGTTAAACCTCAAAATAGCCGAACTCGCATCCGAGCTCGCATTATACACTGGATTAATTCTGGTTAAAGTGCCTGAAAGTGAAGTAGCGAAGCTGTTTGAATTAATATAATCTCAGCACAATTGCTTGCGCAATCGTTTGCTTTCTACGAGATAATACCGGGAGCTCGATATTGCGGTAATTCACAGTGCTTTCGACTCGGCTTATTTCGTTTCCTATTAGCGGGCTAAAGCGAACGCTCCCAGTAGCCTCAAAGTCAATATCTGCGCTATGAAGTTACTTACGGGGAAAAGTCCCAATTGTCACAGCCAAGTCCTTGCCGCAGGTGTTATCCTTTTCCGTAAGCTGCCTCTCGACATTCTCGTGATTGTAGATCGATAGCGCGGTCTTGAGTAATCGCGAGCGCATGTGAAATATCATGAGAGCGGCAACGGAAGTCAGGCCAATGGAAACTATCGCACCGACGACTATCATTGCCGCAACGTCAATTGGGATCGCAGACATCGATTCGCTCGATCCACCTGAGGAATAGTCGTGTGGAAAAAATTAGCCGCGCTCTTTACTCGCGTATAGGGTAGACGAACCGATGGAATTTTTTTAATCGTTTCATTATTACTTCGAAGAAAATTATTTCCTTGAAAGTTTATAGAATACAGTATAATTACACAGCAAACAAAAAAAAAAAAAAAAAAAAAAAAAAAGAAAAAAACGAATGAATTTAATCCGAGGCTTGCAAAAATACAAGTTCTTTTTCACTCTAACTGTTTATTCATGATTAATCGCAATTGCAGATCTATTTGTCGAAGGTCGACATTGCATATGCACTTTAAATCATATTGACAATCTACGAAGTTATAATTTCAAGTCTTCATAATATTGTATGGAATTTGAATTAATTTAAAATTAAGCTTTCAATGGAATTTGACTTTCGTTTGCATATAAATTCGAGATCATTATGTTGCATAGATATAATTAACGACGAAGAGCATTAAAATAGAGAAAAATCGTTTTAAAAATATTTTAAAATACATCATTTTTGTATTTAATGTAGAACTATTATTCTTTTCTTTTCTTTTTTTTTTCTTTTTTTTCTTTCTTTTTTTTTTTTTTTTTTAATACATATTAGCGAAAAAATATCTGAAGGAGTATCAATTATTCCAATATGTCAGTTTAAATTCATATAAGTTTCCCGTTATAAATATTTATTCAATTTTGTAATTATCGCGGATATTCAATACGTTCTCGTCATTTTAACTGTTAATTAAAAATTATTCGTGCAAATGGCGTTTTAATTGTATAATTTATGCTTAACATTACCGCAAAGACCTATTGCAAAAGACCTGGAGTAAAACTATATTTCCATTACATCTTTTACATTGTGAGATTGTTAGAATGCTTTTGATGAAAGTATGTATGAAATTCATATTTTATGACTATCTGTCGCATAATCGTGGCTGAATAGAAAAAGCCAAGAACAAAGAGTAGTCAGGATAGATAAAAGTTGAATTTTCTAATATAGAAAATTATAACGAGCACTATAAAATGATTTTTTTTTTTTTTTTGCATTAATTGTATTAATGTATTCACGGGACACGTGCTATTATCAGAAAATTCTGAATTAGTAAGCAAAATCCAGCGTCACACTAACTCGTTCAACTTTATCACACGGAAAAATATGTAGAGCGCATATTGCGATGACGTCATTGAAAGATGGACGCGTCTTTTATCTGTCAAGGTTACCTCGTAATAAATAACCACTCACTTTACAAATGCAAAACATCCGCGTTTGTTTCTTGATCGACTCATTATTTTATTAATATGAAAAAATAATCTGATAAATCATTCATAATTGGCGATTAGTTAGCCTGTGTAATTTAAATGAGATATTTAGTGCAAACGTTAATCAATATCACTAAAGTTTAAAGCTAAATTTAGGCATTTTGCATCGAGTATCATGATAATGTTGAAATATGCTTTCACTACATGCTATTTGCTTATTTACTTTAAGCCATTATCATTCAAAATATTATTAAACGTAGATTTTTTTTAATACATACCAGAGGAAGGCAAATAATTAAATTAAATGTAAATAACCAAACGATAATCAAACATTATTTTCAAAAATTATTGCTGCTAAAATTTATAGTGCACTATTTGTGTGCGTTTGTGTGCGTTTGTGTGCGTAATTTGATACATCGACATTCAATATATCGATTTTTAGTAACATTATATATATTCAATTTTAGTACTAAGGTTGTAATCATTTTTTCAATTTGAAAAACTGATGAGAAATTTCTTATTGATTTAAACTTTTAATTTAAAAAAAAAAAAAAAAAAAAAAAAAAAAAAAATAGTAATAACACTTGTTATGAAATAAAAATAAAAATGAATAGTATAGTCTTTATAATTTATATTCTAAGTATAGGAGTGGAATTCTTTTCTCAACAATATTATCGAGTAATTTTTAATCAGAGAGCCAGTTTTAACGCTCGCGTTTCAAAATCCACATTCCATTTGTTGGGCCTATTTTCTTATTGAGTTAAATTGCGATTTTCTATAATCTCAAAGTTTTAATGCTACGATTAGGAAATCATGTAATTATGCATGTTAATGGCAAATAAACATTCTACTCGTCAAAGAAAAAACAGTTTTAAATTTTCATAAATCAGCAGATTACATTAAAATCTACTGTGAAATAGATATTAATGCAAATCTTTACATTGTAAACTAATGATGGAGGGATGAATAGATGTCCGCGCGATAAAAATTACTTCTATTTTCAAATCGTTAACAGGCAACATAATTTTATCTCCTGCATTCGTTTTTCCACGGCCAAACGTCAGCACTGCATTTTAAGTTCACTCAAGCCCGACGTATATTGTATATTCAAGTGTCATCCGCCTCGGTCAGTAAAAACTTGCTCGATCCCATGAGCCAGCGAGACAAATTTTCCAAGCACGCGAGAGGCAAAAAGAAAGAGCG